TACCATGGTATACCATGGTATAGCCATGGTCCATTTCAACATGGTATTGCTCAGATTTAGATGAAATTCACACCAAATGGAAGATAATGGATAATGCAATCAGGAAATATTAAGTTGGCAATTCTGAATCCGATATGGCGTTGCTATGGTAGCAAAGTAAATATCCCACACCCACTTTTAGAGGCTCTTTTCAGTGTTTGGTCCCTATCTTCGTCAATATTGCTCAGATTTAGGTGACATTTGTACATAATGAAAGGTCATGGAAAGAGCAATCAAATGGTTTATAAAATATGCAAATAAGGTGATATGCATATTAATTATGACGTCATAACCGTTTGTTCTTGCATAGTTTATTTTAATCATGATGTATAAATCTGGGAAGTTATTGTCTTTAAAATGGTCAGTAATGCTCCTAAGTAGTTAATTAGTTCATTTCTTTTCGATGAGTTTATTAGTTTATTTCATTCATACATGTATGGTCATAAAAATTGAAAAAATGTAATGAAAATATCCAATTCAAGCTGTTGCTATGGTAACAGTATGTTGCAAAACTATCTGCTGTGAAAACATTTTGACTAGTTGACTGACATGTATTCCTTTTAAAATTTGATGGCTGGCAGAAAATAACCTAATAACGATAGAAAATTATCTAATTTGGATTGTGTTATATTATGATGTCATAATGGCAATTATTAATCAGGGGCGCAACCAGCTTTCAATCAGGGGGGAGGGGGTGCGATATCGGCATAAGCAACTCAAAAAAGTTTAATTTGACTTGAATTTTACAAAAATTCCTTCAAATTTGAGCTAGAAGCTTCAAGTCAAAAGCATTTTTAAAGCTCTTCTGCCGAAAGAACAATGGAAATGACGTCTTGGATCTCCTGCTGTAATGGTTCTATTTTTTATTGCTAAATGGGGGGGGGTGCCCCAATCACACCACCTGGCTATCCCTATGTTAGCTGTTGTATTCAGGTGAATATGCCATCCCCACTTTTCAGGTCTTTTCCAAAGTCTTGATTCTATCAGTTGTCATGATGATAGCTCTGGTGTATATGCAATTTTCATCGAATGGAAACTAAAGAATCAGACGATGCATGGGGAATGTAGATTGACAGACTGATATACCTGTTATGGTATGACTACCATAGCTGTTTTCGAAATTATTTTCTTGAAATAAGGTAAAATTGCTCAAAATGATTCCAAATTGGTATCTTGTCCTTTGACATTCACCATAAAAGTAGGTCAAAGCTGAAAACAATGATTGATTTACATTCTATTTCTTTACACGTATAAAGTATGATCAAGAAATATTATGGGCAATTCTGAATCTGCGATGCCGTTGCTATGGTAACAAAGTAAATATGCCACGCCCGTTTTTAGGGGCTCTTTTCAGTGTTTGGCCCCCATCTCCACCATTATTGCTCAGATTTTGATGAAATTCAGACCAAATTGAAAGTAATAGATAATGCAATCAGGATATATTAAGTTGACAATTCTGAATAAACGATGGCGTTGCTATGGTAACAAAGTAAATATGCCCCACCCACTTATGGGGGCTCTTTTCAGTGTTTGGCCCTTATTTTCTTCATTATTGATCAGATTTAGATGAAATTTGCACCAAATCAAAGGTAATAGATAGAGCAATCAGACAGTTAGTAAACTATGCAAATAGGATGATTTGCATATTGATTATGACGTCATAAATGTTTGTTCTTGCATATTTTATCTTAATCATGATGTATTAATCTGTGATATTATTGTCTTTAAAATAGTCAGTAATGTTTTTACCTAATTAATTAGTTTATTTCTTTAAGTTGAGTTTATAATTTTATTTCATTCATACTTGCATGGTCATAAAAACTGATGGAATCAAAAATATAATGAAAGTGTCCAATTTATGCTGTTGCTATGGTTACAGCACGTAGCAAAACTATCTGATGTAAAAAGAATTCTTTGGGAAAGAACGATTCTCGGTTTGGAGAACGAAGTTCGTCAATCTAAATGAGCATTATCCCTGCTTCGGACAAATTTGATTTTTTTACATAATAAAGATTTGAATGTCTTCTTTTGAATAGTCATAATTCAATTTGGGTAATATTTCTAGATTTTTTGCAAAAAAATATTAGCGCAGTACACTGATGAACTTCTTTCCCCAAATCGAGACTTGTATTTATATTGAATAGGTCTATTTGAGCATTATCCCTGCTTCAGACCAATTTGTTATCTTTACATCTTGTAGATTTAAATGTCCTCTTTTGAATATTCATAGTTTAATTTGGGTAATATTTCTATATTTTTCATGAAAACAAATATTAGCCCAGGAGACTGTTCTCCAAACCGAGAATCGTCCTTTACATTTTGACTAGCTGACTGACACATGTATTCTTTTTAAAATATGATGACAGAAAATAATCTTATAACTATAGAAAATTATTTAATTTGGATTGTGTTATGTTTTGATGTCATAATGGCAATTATTAATCAGGGGTGCAGCCAGCGTTCAGTCAGGAGAGGGGGAAGATTTGTTTTGAATTTTACAAAATTGATGCACCTTCCTTCAAAACTGAGCTAGAAGCTTCAGGTCAAAATGATTTTAAAGCTCTTCTTTTATTTAATGGTTCTATTTTTTTTTGTTTATGGGGGCGCACCCATCGCAATAATTGATATGCAAATCACCATATTTGCATATATTAAAAACTGTCCGATTGCTCTATCTATTACCTTTCATTTGGTGCAAATTTCATCTTAATCTGAGCAATAATGACTAAGTTATGGGCCAAACACTGAAAATAGCTCCGAAAAGTGGGTGTGGCATATTTACTTTGTTACCATAGCAACGCCATATCGAATCCAGAATTGCCAACTTAATATTTCCTGATTGCATTATCCATTAGCTTCCATTTGGTGTGAATTTCATCTAAATCTGAACAAAAATGACAGAGATAGGGGCCATACACTGAAAAGAGCCCCTAAAAGTGGGCGTGGCATATTTACTTGGTTACCATAGCAACGCCGTCGCGGATTCAGAATTGCCAACATCATTTTTCTTGGTAAGTATCACGAATAGTTCATGAAAATATATGTCGCTTAGCTCGCCTCTAAAAAGGAAACGGAATGACCTTTGCTCCCATACTATTATCTTTTATATGCCTGTGTAGAATTACTAGTATGAAAATTAATGTGTATAAGTGAATAAACATTTATACCACTTAAGTCCAATTACAGTTGTATAACATGGGTCTATAACAACGATATACAGTGGAGAGTGGTATATCGTCATCGTATCCAACTCCTCCGTATATACTCCAGTGTATACCACTGTAGAAGTGTATTCTACGCTCACTTGTGAATATATCATATACTCACTCGAGTATAAACACGATATACAGAAAGAACCATTATATAACCTCATAATACCACATGGTGCATAAATGGATGTTCCATGAAAACTTAATGAACCTAAAGGATTGTTAAAATAAATCGAATGGCTGCATCAAAACAGCACATGGAGGTTCTGGTACAGAAAGGTCATACTCAAAAACAAAATATGATATTGACCTTTTGACCTAAAAGGTAACCTTGACTTAAACTTGTCACCTTGACCTAAAATGGCCTCTTATTAGACCTTATCCAAAATACTTTTATTGCGAAAAAGTGGTGCATTGAGTCTCCTGAAAGTTAGACAGAGAAGTTTTAGATATCGGGTCTGCTAAAAGATATGACTATGGCTGTTACTTCTGTAGTCTTGAATTTATATTAATTTTTAGCCTGTATTTGAACATGTGTTGAATATGTAAATAGTACTACAACTTGAATTAATATGTCTTTGTATCTACTAACTGCTTTATCAATAATACATGTGCCATACTAAAAAGGTTTGTCAATAGATTCCAATGTTCTAACACTGTCTCAATTGGTCATATGATTTCTCTAAAGCCACTCTATATTAGTGTAAGTATCAAGATTACAAGATTCAAGTAGCATAAGCTGATATATACCGATGAGAGATAATGAGGGGTCTTTTATGAAAACAATCGCAAAGAACCCATTGCCATGGATTGGCAATTCCCTGTGTTGAGACTTTACCTTTATTGACCACTGAGGAACACTGAAATCGCAAAAATGAGATATCCATATACAGTGTATTACCTTTTATATTACCTTACCTGAAAACATGACCATAATAGTAACATACCTTAACCTGAAAACATGACCATAATAGTAACATACCTTAACCTGAAAACATGACCATAATAGTAACATACCTTAACCTGAAAACATGACCATAATAGTAACATACCTTAACCTGAAAACATGACCATAATAGTAACATACCTTAACCTGAAAACATGACCATAATAGTAACATACCTTAACCTGAAAACATGACCATAATAGTAACATACCTTAACCTGAAAACATGACCATAATAGTAACATACCTTAACCTGAAAACATGACCATAATAGTAACATACCTTAACCTGAAAACATGACCATAATAGTAACATACCTTAACCTGAAAACATGACCATAATAGTAACATACCTTAACCTGTAAACATGACCATAATAGTAACATACCTTAACCTGAAAACATGACCATAATAGTAACATACCTTAACCTGAAAACATGACCATAATAGTAACATACCTTAACCTGAAAACATGACCATAATAGTAACATACCTTAACCTGAAAACATGACCATAATAGTAACATACCTTAACCTGAAAACATGACCATAATAGTAACATACCTTAACCTGAAAACATGACCATAATAGTAACATACCTTAACCTGATAACATGACCATAATAGTAACATACCTTAACCTGAAAACATGACCATAATAGTAACATACCTTAACCTGAAAACATGACCATAATAGTAACATACCTTAACCTGAAAACATGACCATAATAGTAACATACCTTAACCTGAAAACATGACCATAATAGTAACATACCTTAACCTGAAAACATGACCATAATAGTAACATACCTTGAATAAGTAATCCAGGATTTCATTTCTCTGTTTGTCAGGATAGTTCATCAACAATTTAGAAGTTGCCTGAAAAACATATAAAAATATGTATAAAAGCTGGAAGTTAAGCTACTGTGTACTTGAACATAGCACTGCTAATGTACCATGCTCTTATTCATGGACTGAATCTACCAAAGACACAATGTATGCTGTAAAAGAACTTTGGTTGTAGTTGTCAAAATGTGTGTTGTGTATTTTGTGAAATTTTCCTTCTCACTAGTATGAAAAGCAACTTTAAATATTACTTTAAAATATTTATGAGTTTATAATGAGTATTTAAATTGAAATGGTGTGTTTTAGGAGTTCATGTTTCATGTCCCATTTAAGGCACATAACTACTTAGTGAACACCTTTCTCTAATGAACGCCTGTCTCTTATGGACACTCTTCCCCACACATAATCTATTGACTTCTAATTACCCTCTAGAACTTCTACAAACACTTAACTTTTTCTCTGCAAAAAATGTTCAATGTACATAGGTTTTACTGTATTTTGCTTTAGTGATAGGCATCAAACAATACATTCAAGCAAATCATTACTTCACATTAACAAGTATTTGAACTCTAATTTTGCATAGAGAGATACAAGAAGGTATGAAATATGAAAGTGTATTCATCAGTTGTGACTAAAAACAAATATTTTAGGTGAATATGGGAAGGGAAATTTATGCCTGTCATGTAACGCCAGATCCAGCGATATCCATGCTTAAGATTATTGTAACATCTATTGAAAGTGACTTTCAATCAATTAGCAGTCACATTTGAACTGTCTCTCTCTCTGAACACTGTGGTATTACGAAAATGTAAAATATACAATAACAAAAAATATCACATCAAGACTCTATGAGAGTTCATTACATGTACTGTAGCTTGCTGAACATTTAAGTCTATTACCCCAGCATCTAATCCTCCAATACCATCAAAGACTCTTCCAAAGTCAGCATCACTGCATTCAATAGAATGAACTGTGGATTGCATAAGCCTTGAAATCAGCAACAACAAAAATGATTATGCTAAGTCCAAGAATACATTTCTTTAGATACATAATGCAATCAAAGAAACAGATTGATTTGTATCAGATGTAATAATACTGGAGTCTATGGCTAAGTGACGCAAGAAAACAAACTTGAAACTGTAGATTATGAAGTGAAATGTACAAAGTGCAGTATAGTATAATGGTAGTCTACATTTTAGTTTTCATAAAATGTTGACCTTCTCTACTATAAAGCTAAAGTTGTACTTTGGACAAAAATACAAGGAGGATTGGGTCCCAGGATTCAAATTGTTCATCTTCTACTGAGTAAGAGGCCTGTTGTGACACACCCCTGAAGACGATCAGCCAATCAACTAGATTAGATTTATCTCATGACATTTTGTACGATCTCACAAGCATGTGGAGCAATATTTTGATTTACATTTTGTGATTACAAAATCAAACCAGTAGCATTTTATCACTTCAGAATTTCTATTATGGGTTTTGGTCTTATTACCTTGTAATAGAACCTAGAAGTGATAAAGGCATAAGTTCAAATCATTTGATTTAATGAATATATAAGCAATTATATCGTCAGGCTGAAACAATCATCCTTTGATCATAACTTTAACTTTAAGTGAAGTCACACCGGAATAGCCTGACAACAGTAAAGTCGGATACCGTTGTCACAAATGGCTGACATAACCGTCGCTCATTTCATTAACATTTCTTTGATCGTCTGTGACATCATAGGCATGATACCTAACAGCAAAACAGCAAAACAAAACAGCAAAACAAACTAGCATATGGTTTTGTCCAGTGCCTCGCTCTTTGTTTTGATGAACAGTGAATCAGTTATCATGAAACAATGAATGGTATAATCAACATAATATATCAGGGACTTTTTGACTTGGAGATCTTGACTACAAGGAGTTTGCTGCATTTTCTTGTTCATTGAAAAAGTGACCCACTTTAGCAACATGTCTCCATATACCCAATATATGGGAATCCCCCCAGGATCCAATGTCCAGATCCTCTTTAACTTTCTCAGTTCTTTCATGGGCTTCAGGCAATTTGCGTGACAGAATATGTCATGCAAATTTGATACATATTATAACTGATTATTGTCAAGCAAACATATACCTGTAGAAAACCTTCCTAAAAGTGATCGCAGATACAGCATAAAACCGAACGCTGAAAAAAAACAAATGCATTCCGTTCGAACTTTTCACGCGGATGCATTTTCCTCGAAATATTCCATACCTACTCCCCCCATAAATTTTGAGGTGTCTAAAATTTGGTTATATGCAAGAAAATTTGAACCAAGGTGCTCATAACATAGACGTAGCCAGGGGGGGATGCGATGGTTGCGCTGGCACCCCCCCCCCTCCCATAACCAATAAAAATAAAACCATGAGATAGAAGAAAAGAGCTTTAGAATGCTTTTTATTTGAAGGAAGTTGCATCAATTTTTGTAAAATTCAAATCAAATATATTGTTTATGCCAAAATCGCATCCCCTGACTGAAAACAATATTTTTTTTTGGCGATTGCACATCCCTGACTGAAAGCTGGCTACGCCCCTGCATAATGTGGGCCAAGGTGTTCAGATTTGGACCAAGGTGTCCTAAATATACTAGATGCGAGTAGACATAATCTTGATTAACGTCAATAAATATTCAAAATTCAGTCAAAGTGATGTCATATTTGAAATCTACATGTAAAAGTACATCTAGAAATATGGTTTCGAAAATTGTTTATCAACTTTGAAAATTAATTTTTTTTGAAAGTTTGACTTCTCGTTCGGGTTGATTCCCCATAGACCCAATGTTACAAAATCACAAAAAGTGAAATATCTTTTCTTTAATTGGACAGATAACATTTTCTTTTACTGAACATATTTCAAGTTGCATAACTATTAGATACATAAGGGTTATATGAAAATTGAACCACTAGAAATCTAAAACAAATTTAATTTAAGGTACAGCTGGAAAGTAACATTTTGGTAAAAAATTGCTATACCTGCACATGTTATTTTCTGGTACAAAATAAAGTATGAAGGCATGAGTCAATTTCCTTGCTTTTTTCAGGAAAGTATCATTACATTGTCTTCTTTTAGAATATCTGGTAGGGGTTCAATGGAAACTCCAGGAAATTCTGATATTTCACACTTTCTATTTTTCCAAATTTTCTTTCAAAATTTCCAGACAACACAGGAGCTACCATTGACCTGTTTCCAGATATTATAAAAGTAAACAGTGTAATGATACTTTCCTGAAAAAAGCAAGGAAATACACACATGACTTCATACTTAAATCTGTACCAGAAAATAACATGTGCAGGTATAGCATTTTTTTACCAAAATGTTACTTTCCAGCTGAACCTTAATTTAAAGGTAACTTTCTGCTATACCCGCCATGCTATCTGACCCGAATGAGCCACCTGGTGGTGAAACTTGTAAATACCTACTCGCATCTGCGTTATTTAAAGAAAGGAGTTCAACATTTGTAAGTCACTCATGTTAGGTGTTCCCGGCCAAGTTGACAGGCCTGGGGCTTTCAACGAAAAATAATAACAACTTTTGGGAACGTACCCCTCCACCACTGAGACCTCCAATGCCATCATATTGTCTTCCTAAACCATCCTGATCATCTAAGACATAGCTAGCATCTACTTTGACAACGATCAAAGCTATAAGCACTGCACAAATCGAGTTTAACGTTAACATTTTAGGTTCGAAAATATTGTCATGTGAATTGGAAAGGGAGAAACGTGCCACTCGTTAGATTAAATTCGGGGATCAATCATTTTGTCTCGGTCAGTGGCGAACTCCCGTGCATATTTGATGAAAAAGGGAACTATTTTCCCCAAATTTTGGGGATTTTCTTCGTCTGCCCGCCGCAGTGTCTATACCGAGACACTGCATGGGAGTTCGGGTCAGTGGCGGATCCAGGAACCAACAGGGGGGGGGGGCCCAAATTTGAGGTCAGAGAAAAAAGTAGAAAAAATTTTTGAAAATTTGAGGCCCATTTTCTTCAAAATCTGGCCTAAAATTAAAAAAATAAGGCCTTAGAAGGGCCAATAATGCCCAAAAGGCCCACTTTTTGGGGTCTTAAGGTCTTTTTTGGCCTAATTTTTTTGGGCCCAACTTTTTTTTCTGGGCCAACCTTAGGGGGGGGGGGCGGGCCCCATGGGCCCCCCGGATCCGCCATAGTCGGTAGCTCTGTTTTTCATGGGTGGACCAATTATTTTGAAACAGGGATCGATTCGGGATAAGAAACTAAGATAAGCAAAATATCTCTACCCAAGGAGCGGTCATCGAAGTTAAAATGGCGGGGGGCATATCAGCTCTTTGGGCCCTTTATCAAAAATAGACCCCAAAAGAAAGTGACGCTGAGTGCTGTAAGTTTTTTATAAATATTTCTTCTGTTGCCCAGTTTATGTGGGGAGGTCCAAATTTCTTTTTCTGGGGCTGGATCGCCGGGCCACTGCCATCCCTACCTAGGCGGTGCACTGGCGGATCTGGGGGAGGGGCCAAAATTTAGTGAGCCCAAAACCTTTTTAAAGGCCCTTTTAATGGGACTTTTTGGGCAAAAATGGGCCTTTGAAAGCCTTGTTTTTAATTTTAGGCCAAATTATCAGGAAAATGGGCCTTAAATTTTCAAAATTTGGGCCCACTTTTTGGTTTTAGCCTTGTTGGTTCCTGGATCCGCCCCTGCCAATTGTGTGTGTGTGGACAATTTTGCCCCCCTCCCCCCTTCCGTTTTTAAATTTTTAGTCCCTATCCATCGTGAGATATCACAGCCTCCCATCAGTTCTTTGCAGATGGTCTGAGTATCAGAATGGTCCATCCGTTCTATTTTGATGAGTAGCCTAATAAAAATGTCCAATCAATGCAAGCAATCACGCTAAGCCTAATACTGTCGGAAGCCTACGTTGAATCACTAAAACCATGGACTCTATCCTAAATCGCCTTCCCTAAACCTAAACTATTTTTCAACATAGTCTAATTATGCTCATTTGTAAAGCTTGCGTGCAACAACCGTTTCGTATTTGAAGTCCTAGTAGGCCTACTACACCGGCCCCCAAAATTAGTTTGGAAAATACTACTCATCGACTACCCTGCGCACAGAGTCTAGTTATAAACTACCTAAGATGAAGCTCCCGTAGCCAGGGGGCTCGTGCGAGCCCCCCCCCCGATATCTCCTAAAAAAATGTGGACCTACCTTTTATGCTTAACCTACTTGAAGAATTTTCTTACATTTCGAGGTAGAAGGTAACATTTGGTGACATATGTACGGTGTATTTTGATGTGATTGCCAATCTCTTTTTATAAAACTCTAAATTGACTAGAATAGCGAGGCAACTAAATGATTCGTTGTTTGTTGTATTTAATTGGAAAGTTCATTTTTATGGATGGTGTGTGTTTAAGTGCAAAATCTTACAACGTCTCACTGGCGGACATGAGGGGGCTAAGCCCCCCCCCCCCCCTAAGTTGGGCCCCAAAAATTGGCGTAACGAAATAGACGCAGAATATGCAGTCGCGTTCGAGTTTAAATTGAAATTAATCATAGGCCTATATTTTGTTCCTTTAATCGCTCAGAACGCGTCAAATAAGCCTAAAAATTCAATTTTTTAAATACACAAATCATATATTTTGATCCTCAACATTGCTCAGTACTCACTAAATCGCCGAGGACGTGTCAAATAAGCCGAAAAATTCGATTTTTTTAAATACGTAAATCATATATTTTGATCCTAGAATCGCTCAGAACGCACCAGAATCACCCTGAACGCGCCAAATAAGCCTAAAAATTTACTTTTTGAAATAAGTAAATCATATATTTTGATCCTAGAATCGCTCAACGCAGTTAAATCAGCACAAACTCCTAAATTTTCCGGGGGAGAATCCCCTCTGGCTACGTCCCTCACAAGCTATTTTACAGGCCATGATAATTTGGCTGGAATTTTGTTCCGTCTAAATCAATTAACTAGTCATTTTTAACAACATGAAGGCATTACTGGGCATTTTTCAAAATTTGGGCCCTAATTTTCTTCTGCGCAAGCGCGGAAATTTTTGGGTTCCCTCCCTTGGTTTTCGTGGCCACCCCTGGTGTATTGTTAATAACACCCCTGTGATCACAATGTGATGTTGGTTAAGCATAAAAACATTTTTGTGGATGGGGGGGGGGGGGTCGAGCCCCTGGCTACGGGCATGCACTACGTACGTCAAGGACAGTGTTCTCCAGGGCCGACAATTTATTCTCTTCTGTGTTACTTCCCTTCGCATTCGTTCACTTGGCTTTAATGAACGTTCAAAAATAGCTTCGAATATTTGAAAATGACCTCTCACTCGGAGTACTAATACACTTGACTATTACTCCAGTCTTTAATGAAAACCTCATGTTTGTATTCATGTTTTTCTTTATTTTGGGGCCTCGGATCACCCTTCGAGATGAAATCAAGTTATTTTCCAAACTTATTTCGAGGGTGTATTCTCCGCATAACAATCATAAACAAGGCATGTAAGCCCATGGACAATATTTTCTTAATAGCTTTACACCACGGTGCCCACCAAGCCATGACAGAACCAGACACATTTCGATAAGCACCGACTTCACAACTTTGGAATCCGAATTACTGGGATAAAAGTGTATGCACAGACACCTGATAATATTCACATTCTTTGATAAAGATAAATATGCCATCTATGTATATGGACGATCACATCAACGGTTACGCAAACGGGAAGGGTTCAGGCGGCTACGGTGAGGGGTACACTAACGATACTTACTATACGGATACCTTAAATCCGTCCAAACCAGATTCCCCAGGAGCAGATATTTCCAAGACTTACGTCCATTTGAAACAAACTACTGATAAAACAAAGAAGGTAATTGTTATATTCTTAATTAAACAAACCCATGTGTTCATTAGGCAGCCAACCATAAAATATAACGGCGTGTCCACTCATTAAGGGTTCATGTCTCTACATTCTACGTACCTCTCCATGTTATTTTCTGGTTCAAATTAATATGCGACGACATGACTATTTCCTTATTTTTCTTGAAAGCATCCTTGTTACATCTATTAAATTATGATTGTCTAATTTGAAAAAATTCAATTACATTAAAATTGAAACGGTCATTTTGGATGTTTTTTTTAAATCGGTATTTCTTGGAGCGAGTTTTGAGCTTTTATCAGATTCACAAAAATACAATGCAAGAATATTCTCAAGAAAAAGGTAAGGAAATATACATATGAGTATGTCAGCACTATCATGGGCTGGTATTGTATTTTTCAAAATGTTAGCAATTGTGATTGTAAAATGTATTAAAATAATGTTAATTTAGTTGACACGTTATGCAACATATTACACCTTAACACATCATATTCACTACAGTCCATTATAGCATGCTGTTCATCCTCCACAAGTGGGACCTCTTCCGGGGACCGCAAATCAAACAATGTCTACCTTGGGTAGCCAGGCGTTCATATCTGACAGGATATACAGCGTAAGGATGCAAATGCCCTTCTATCCAATACATGCAATAGTGATAGACTAGATTTAAGATAGGGCTCACAGTCACAGTTGTCTTTAAAGGGGGGGGGGGCTTTAAACGTTCTATAAGTTCTAAGTTGGTTCCGTTGGTTTGGATCACGGCGGTTGTCATTAGTACAGACATGCGATTTCGGGTAGATTCGTGATGAGATTTTTTGGTAATTTTATTTTGATATTTACACGTTATAGAATACACAGTTTATAAATTATGTTGACATTTACCATTTTTTAAAAATCCCCAAAGTGCATATACTTTCTTCGAAGATTATACAACTTGTATTCAGGTCTCTAACGATTTAGTGATCTTTATTATTTGGGATTGCATTCGTGGAGAAGTAGATAATGGCCCATATAGTCTTGAGGCAAGACTACACGATGTCCCATAGCTGGTACAAAGCATAGCCCCATCTAGAAGGACGGAGACAACACAAAAAGAGATTGAAAACGAGTACACACTATGTTACGTTATTTGAGGTGCCATTGTGCCCCGTTACATTACGTCCGAAGGATTTCCCAAGGGGGTAGGTGACTTTTGCGTTTGCGTACTGATGGGTTGTGCCGTCGATACCAGTAAAAGTCTCGCACGGGCACAGAGCACCGCAAGCAAAGTTGAAAAAAAATTCTGGTGCATTCGGAGCATATCTGAGAGCCTTTTTGTACCCTTTGCATTCGTTCAACTTCACTTCTTAAAAGAGAGCTTCGTAGTTTATATCTAGACTCTGCGCGCAGGGTAGCCTTTTTGTATAATAAATACAAAATAAAATGATAAAAACCACAAATTCTCAAAATGATCTAGAAAGGGGGTTGGTGGACGTGTAACTTTTTATTCATCCCACGTGTAACCGAGAGATACATGTACAGTAGACGACCTGCCATAGAACTCCAGAAGCCTTATTTCATTAACAATCTTGCCAGGTGGTAAGTCAGTAGCCTTTATCATAATCTGCCTTCTAGGTATTCGGATTTGCTAAAGGAATTAGAAAACTAAACTGCTTTTCAATAAAAATCGCATTAGGATTTATAAAATCCATAATTTGGTTTACTTTAATCTTTAATGTTCAAAATTCCTTGAGAAAACGTAAATTGTTCAATTATGTTGAGCCATGTGTACATGTGTATGACAATATTATTGCTTTATTTTTATTATGCATCATATGATATTTTCTTATTATTGAAAATTACATAAGTTTTATATAACTGTCCATCTACAATACATGATACGCTTCAAACAATATTTGCCACCGTAAATGAGGGTGTCCTTTATTGTCTACACGCATATCGTGAGATATCTCTGCCTTCTATCAGTCATTTTCTAATTTGAAAGCAGAAAGGTGTAATTGGAATTAGAATTAGGTACTGTGTAAGACATGGGAGAACCTCATGCCGCGTCATGTCTTATCTTACATCATGAAAATCTCATTGACGTAGTCTATGAACAAGGGATGGATTGAAAAATAGAGTGAATTGGCCCGCCGGGGAAGGGCAGAAACTACAAGACTATAAAGATGGCAGTGTCATCATAGGCCCGATTTAAGGTCTCATGGAAGTTAACAGGAAATGACAAAACAAAAAATGACAAAGCCATGCTGGATTTTGAAAAATTTTGGAACCAAGATAACAGAGTTCTGTTTGGACCTCCAGTCAGTTTAACTATTTCCAAATATCATTTACATGACCAGGAACACAATTGAAATGGTCAGAATGACCATAAACATGATAAAATAACCTTTTTAGCCCTCTGAAAATGTGGCTGAAAAATAGCTAAAAGTAGGTGCTCAGGAAAGGTCAATGAACAGAATCTTTTGATTTTTTCAGAATATGTGTCCAATATATTGCTCTAAATGACACAATCTTTGAAATTTTAAAAAATCGTCTGAAACAATAATGGCTGTAGTAAAAAGTAAAATAGATCGATTTTCAATTCAGTTTTTTTCAATTTTTTCTTTTTCTAAGAATGATATCAATTTTTTTTGAATTGTATCATTTAGAGCAATATATTGGGCACATTTTCTGAAAAAGTCAAAATATTCTGTTCAGTGACCTTTCCTGAGCACCTACTCTTAGCTATTTTTTAGTCACATTTTCAGAGGGCTGAAAAGGTTATTCTATCATGTTTATGGTCATTCTGACCATTTCAACTGTGTTCCTGGTCATGTAAATGATATGTGGAACTAGTTAAACTGACTGGAGGTCCAAACAGAACTCTGTTATCTTGGTTCAAAAAATTTTCAAAATCCAGCATGGCTTTGTCATTTTTTGTTTTGTCACTTCCTGTTAACTTCCATGAGACCTTAACGTTGATCATTGTTGGATTGCCCTAAGACTACCTTATTGGTCTATTCGGTTTTCTTTTGTAACACAGTTACATAATATTTGTATTTCATTCTTTTTGGCCGAAAAGGTCCATGATTCGAGGACAAATGCATGATTTGGGGACATCTCGGGTTCCTAAACGTATGTATGGGAATCCTCTGCCACTCTACTCAAAGTTAGCCCATTGAATGGAATTATTAGTCAAGTAAAATAAAACCATCTTTAATTTGGTCCAAGGGTATTACACCTCTTTCCTTCTGAATTGAGTAATAAGTCCTTTGAAAGAAGGATGAATAAAACCACGATGACCTAAACTTGGCAACCAAGGTATGACGACATGGGACATTGCCCAAAATAGTAAACATCACATATATCTTTTTTCCAGATATTAACTTTTCTCATGTGCATGGACGACTTTCTGCTCAAGTGGGCTTAGTGAATGAGCAAATATCGCTATATGTGGCCATTTTCTTATGTACTAAACCTTCACTGAAATATCCACTATGTAAACCGGTCCATTCATATTTATAAATACAAACGTCGCATATAGCACACATGGATTAAGAACCCCATACATGTACAATACAATATGGATTTATATAAACCCAAGTGAATTTTGCTTTGATGGATTCTGTTGATTCTTAACACTATAAAGGTGAGTTTGACTTTAAAATACAATATTATTTTTATGACAATATATAAGGGGGTGTTATAGTAATACCACAGAAGCTGGAGATGTTCATTATAGGTACAGTAAGTGAGAAACGTTTCAAATGATCCATTACACAAAAAGTGAGCAAAATATCAAAATAAGGTCATGTAGAAATGTCACGTACATGTACATTGCCAAAAGAGCAGAGGTTGTCCATATAAAGCCAGTAGCATTTCCCATGTGTACATCAGTCATTCAGAGATGTTATTAAGTGATATTACTAATACTGGCTCTTATAGTTTTATAGTTACTAAGGAAGTGAGCCATCTTCGAATTCCAAGGGGTTTTAACACCAACTAAAACCTTGAGAATCAAGAGGGAAGTTAGTCCAACAACATTAGACCTAGCCTGGGCCTCGTTTTTTATCTGACATGTCTTATGGCCCCCAATAACGGCCCAAGAAAATTCCTAATAGTAAAGAACGCCGATCCAAAATAGCACCCCGGGAATTGCACCCACCCAAAATTCAGGCTGATGTGTAACCAAAATGGGAAAATCAAAATTAGTACTATATTTAGAATATGACTTTAACTACATGTAGTTTCTGAGTGGGTCACTCGCCCTCGGTCCAAATCACCCTGCAGATCAAATTTGCCCCAATTCGCATCATGGACCATGCTGAGATGATAAGTGAAAAAGAAATACCGATGTGATAAGTATCAGTATGCCAATTCGACTTGTATGAATCACTGTTACTGATATATGAGGATCTTTTCTTGGTTGACTTTGGTTTTACATACCGAGCCCTCAATGACTTACCCTGCGCGCAGTGTCTAGATATGAAGAGGAAGCTCTCTTTTAAGAAGTGAAGTCGAACGAGTGCAAAGGGCATCAATGACTTGGACGAGTCAAGATGACTTTCTTATACGTAGGCCCACAATTCCAAATTAATGCCCTGTAATACCAGCTTGTTTTACGATTTATGTATGTGGCGAGAAGCAGTTTTTGCCCTCCCCCAGAGCCACCGGTGCCTCAAGGTAACCGACAACCGAAAGTTGCATTCGCGAAAACAAGCTCAATCAAAAAATATGAATAAAATGGCTATTTCCAAGAAGACTAATCAGTTTTAGCGACTTGTCATTGGCTCCTCTACGTCAATGAAAGTCACAAGGCGCTATGGTACTTTTTAAAAGTTCACAAGGGAGTGCTGTTTATATTGCCATCATTCAGTTTTCATTCATCAGTTTTCAATTCACGTTCTATGTCTTTTGAGATTCACTTTTAGATCTTCTCTATTTATCGAAGGTGTAACACTCAAAGGTGCACATAAACTTTGCTAGGACTTTAATTCTTCAGGATATAATTATATGCTCTACTAGTAGCGTACAAAGGCTCAATTGACAGTCTTTATAATGATGTAGGTGGGAATGGAGTGCGCAAAAGAGTCTCTCGTAATATTTTAACAGATTCTGGATTATAAGCACACTTAAAGTAAAGCCAAGAGTAACATTCGATTGCAAAGAATATATTCCAAGAAGCTAATATTTTGTCTCGTCTGATCTGAGAAGTATGGCGGATACAGAAATGTCTATTTCAAGGAAGAAGGTCACATACAAGAACCAAGGGGTATGTGCTTGTAATTTAATTGTCAAGTGTCAATCATGTCTCATTAGACATAACCCCTAGTTAACAGGTTAATGAGATTCTGGAATGGTTGAACATGTAGTTCATAAAGCAGATTCAAAATGAATTTAATTTTAACAATTTTGTACTGTATTGTATTACATTATGTGTTGTATTGTAATGTTTGTCTTTTGCCCATATTTGAATGGAAATGCAAGTAGGTATGTATAATTGAAGTTATTGAGCAAACAGCTCAATGTTATCCCGTTCCAGGACTATAGTCCTGTACGGAGCCCATACATTTGCCTGTACGATTACAACTTGGGAGAATTATCTACGCCCCTTCCACTTAAGAAACCTACCTCAATGCATTCTAGAACTCAAAATGTAACTTCTAACATATTGGAACCGCCGATTGTCTGGGTTAGTTGGCAGAACGAGGTCTTTTTGTTTCTTATGGCTCTTTTGGTCGAAGTTCGATTAAGATGGCGGTTATAACGGAATTTCCCGAACTCTTCCGTAATAGCACGAACTTGGTTTTTCGTTACGTCACTTCCGTGTAAAATGGATTTGTCACCGGTAAGAGGGAATTTCGAAAATTTCGGACAATATTTTCAATATTTACTGCCATGTCGACATCCTATGCTCTTAACTGTATACCGAATGGTTAAACAATGTTTCTTACCGGAAACAAATCCATTTTACACGAAAGTGATGTTACGAAAAACCAAGTTCGTGCTATTACGGAAGAGTTCGGGAAATTCCGTTATAACCGCCATCTTAATCGAACTTCGACCAAAAGAGCCATAAGAAACAAAAATACCTCGTTCTGCCAACTAACCCAGACAATCGGCGGTTCCAATATATTAGAAGTTACATTTTGAGTTCTAGAATGCATTGAGGTAGGTTTCTTAAGTGGAAGGGGCGTAGATAATTCTCCCAAGTTGTAATCGTACAGGCAAATGTATGGGCTCCGTACAGGACCAAAGTCCGGGAACAGGATAAGCTCAATGCTTTAGAGTTACGTGGAACTGCACAGTGCTCAAGACTTGTAAATCGTGTTTTGTAATGTCTAATACATATATATTCTTTAACAATGAGAAAACAGTAAGAAATAGCAAGACATTTATTCCGAGAATTGCCCCATCCAAGCATTTCTGAATTTCTTCAGTGCTGGGTTTTATTACATTTTGTCGCAGGCTAAATACAGAAAAATACAAAATACAAAAACTGAGACTAATCAGAGTCTGCAGAGTGGGCGAGTTTTTTTATGAAAAGAACAAGTTTGCTATTTTTGTATTTTACTGGCCATTAAACTAGACTACTTTATTAACACCCAAGGTAAACACATTGGACGTTTTAACTAGAGACTTTTATAAAATGCAAACAAGGCATCATGAAGGTCGCAGTGACCTCCTGATGTGGGTGGTGCCACAGAAGTGGCTGAAAGTGTACATGACATCTGAATCATGACGAGGAACATGCATTCTACTTCACCATGACTGACACTATTGATGTGGCACAGCAACACCCAATGAGGTGACTAGAGCGAAACACAATTATGTTTTCTATTGCACGCAATAAAGGCAAGGGACATCAACAGTTTTGGTCGTCTTCATTTCTAATTTTCATATCAATACGTTTTTAATCACTGCAGTGCGCAGCTAACCTAATGAAATAATTAGTGCATGAGAATGTATTATTTATAGCTCGTTTTCTTGTAATACTCATGATCACTCATATTACACCGGCATTTGCATGATAAACCATATAGAAAAAGCAGAGCAGTTGGAGGCCTCTAAAAAGACAACAATATACACCAATGATAATGACGGTTAAGAAAGGGAAGAAATGCTGCTGGGCAGAGAGCCATCAAGGGATATAATTACAAACAACATACACCTTCGTGTTTAACACACCTGAATAATTATAGAAAACACACACCTGAAAATGGTTTTTTTTATCATAAACAACTTCATAGGATATTCAATGTCGTGTTTTAAGGGATGCTGCAACCAAACAGTGAGAGAGGTAGTATACTTAAGAAATGCGATCTCTATAGTCTTGCAATAAGCCCTTTTGATCCTATGTTTGACATACCTCATTAGTTAGGGGGCTAGTTTGGGGGATGCTTTTTGACACCTTCTTTTCTTGAAAGAGCAATTTCTTATTTATAATATAATTTGTTTTGATTGGATGGTTGGTTACGTTGGTTGGATGCATTCTGCTTTGCCAGACCAACCCTTACAGTTGCGTGGGACTTGGCCTCTTTGGAAGGTTTAAGAAAAAGTATTCAATAGTTATACACATAAAACGGCTGTAAAAGTACGAAATTCTATATACAAAAATGAAAGTTTTGAAAGTAGTTTATTCATGCCAACATTGAAAAACGAAAGTGGGCTTATTATCAATGTCTCCCATTCACATGATTCATATAAAATGAAAGTGGTTTATTCATTCCCTTCCGATTCATAACTGTGAAACGCCAGTTACCGAACTCTCATTCAGAACAGAGTCATTGACACTGAGTGTGTTCGCTTTGTTTTCATACTTGAAACCAGTTCATATTTTTTAAATCAACATACATTTATCATCTAACAGTGATGTTACTTATAGAACATCAATCGTTTGCTTGGAATTGAATGTCCGCATTTGCACATTCTGATACTCATCACATCTGTTTTAACTACTAGAAGGCCCTGGTTTCTCATGATGGTGTTTGCAATATGAAAAGTCTTAACAGCAAAAACAAAATCAAGGCTCAGTCAACCAATCGTTTATTGAATGATTGTCAAATATTTGTCACAATTTGTTTATTTTTATTCGCACTGACCCAGATGCTTGAATTGACCATTCCCATTACCAACTTTTTTGTGGACGGTATTCGGCGGTTGGTGTTCGGCGTCTGTAGCAAATGAAAGGTGGTGACATTTTGCAACTAATGCCTTGTTCAACTAGTATGGCTTCCTAGAAAGGAACTAATAGAAGGCCATAGCTTCTCACGATGGTCTGAAACGTGAATGAATGACATGCTAGTTTACAGTCTGTGTTATGAGAGACTTCACAGCAAACGGATGATTGTTTACCCCAAAAATGGTCATTTGCGTGATCTTGTCCCGACTTTTGTGATAGGTCTTTACAATAGGTAATAATTACATTAAAGTAGTTGGTGTCACCGCGAGTAAACCTGTAATAAAATAGCATCTTCTCACGCTCGGTCTTCACTGCGTTCAGCCGAGTGAACGAAGATGATAAAATAGAGCATTCATGTAATTTCCGTCTCACAAACAATTAGTTTGTCAGTCCGTTTCTCCCTTTCATTTCATTGAAGGATGTGAATGGTTGATCTTCAGCCAACACGGCTCCATGACCGTATAGGCCAGAAAACTAGGCCTATGGTACTAGGTAAACTCAACATTAAGGCACAAGCATAGGAACAGATACTAGAGTTGTCCCGAAAATAGAGCGTGAAAGGGGGTGATTTTCTTTTCAGGAGAGCTCTACTAGGCTACTGTAAGACTGTGCCTGCTCCGATGTCTGTGCCCAAAGGAATATTGCATCCTATGTACATACGTTCACTGCCACTGATTACATGTAACTCACCATTATCTTATCCAAGTATTGTGTTATTTCAGACAATCATCATGAGTGGACGGTTGAAGTCTGCCATCAAGGCCAACCAGATTGAGAAGGTCAGCAAATTACTTGATCGAGCCGGAGACCTTGCCGGGAGACAATGCGACAACTACTTTGAACCAAGCTGCACTGACAAATGCCTGTCATTTGGGCGCTCGGAAATGGAGCCCGAAAATGCGTTACATTATGCAACGCGTCTTGGTCGTACCCAAATAGTAAAGATGATGCTCCAGAGGGGAGCAAGCGTCAATCTTCGTACGCATAACGGAGATTCTCCTCTTCACATAGCAGCTACCCTCGGGAATAACGATATTGCGGCTGTGCTGATCATCCACGGAGCGGACTTGTACGCAAAAGACGCTCTTGGTTGGACGTCCATACACCGGGCGGCGGAGAGCGGACATATGAACATGGTTCAATTTCTCATGGACGCCGGGAAGCCGGAAGACGTTGACGCTTTATCGGCAGAACTGGAGACGCCACTACATCTTGCTTGTTGGTGGGATCGCCCACAAATGGCATTCGAACTTCTACAACTTGGCGCTAAAGTAAATGCTCAAAACAAACGAGGTGATACTCCTTTACATTACTGTACGAATGAACATGCCATTGGAAGAATAGACATCGCAAAGATTTTACTAAGTAGAGGGGCTGATGTGAGCATTAGAAATCAAGATGGTAGGCTTCCCACAGACTCTAAGAAGTGGGCGAGTTGGATCCATATCTTAAAGAAAGACAAACAACTCCCTTCTGTATCTTCAAATAATTCCAACAAGATATGATAATAATTTGTCGAACTAACAAAGGAGTTTTAGTAAGGATTTAATCAGGAATATTTAAGTGATGAACGTGGTTTCGAGCGATATGCCATTCTACATAATACCAGATAGATGACATGCTATGAAGATTACACCATGAGGATAATATATAAGGATAACATAATTAAATATATAATTATGATGATACACTAGGAGTATTATATACAAAATTATGATGATAACAGTTTGAGGATAGCGTTCTAAAATAAAATTATGGTGATAACAGTATGAGGATAACATTATTAAATAAAATTATGGTGATAACAGTATGTGATGAGGATAACTTTATTAAATAAAACTATGATGATAACAGTATGAGGATAACATTATTATAGTGTGATGATAACAATATGAAGATAACATTACTAATATTCTGTCAACTTACTGACTATACTCAATTAAGTCTAGGGTTTGATTAAATAACTAGCTTACATGTATTTTGGTTGTTTGAATAATCTACAATGTATATTTATATTGACTAAAATTACCACCTTGACATAACAGTCATAGGTTGAAAATTAATTATATTCACTAAAATAATCAAGAGTTTTTCAATGATTGAATGAACAGAAAATACATGTTTATGTTTTATATGTCTCTGGGTAGTCCAGTTACACACCTTTGCCCCCCCCCACTACACCCCACCCCACAAAGTAAGAAGTTTCATACCTGTGTAATCAAGTAGTATGAGATGGGGGGGGGGTCACTGGAACCTATGCAAGACTATATTTATGGGTTAGAGACTGGAACTTATCGTAAACCTTTGATATAAATATTTACTGAAATGATGTATAACTGGCTGTTGTGCTGAACTTTGGAAATGGTGTATATCAACATATTTACAGAAAAATCTACCATGAGATCATCCTAATATCTTAAACCTCATATAGGATAATCTGTTTTTATCTAACCCAATGTGTAATAACCATAATCTTAATCTGTAAAATATGGCGTCAAATACATTTTTATATATGAATCTATCCTTTTAATTAGGTTTGAAATCGAAAAAAAGTTTACAATGCTCACATTTATCTCATGGGTATTCCTCGAAGGAGAAATTATTCTCACGTGCAAATGAATATTGTTAAGTCCAATTGGCTAAATCAACCACACTCTTAACGGACAATAACTTGTACAGGGATGCCCTATTGCCCTCGTAAGGCTAAAGGGGAGGGTGTTCAAAATTTCAAAAATATCAGATTTGCATTTAACCATGTCTTTATGAATGTTCATGTTGAACCAACAGGGGCCTGTATGGATGATTGGCCAGAGCTCTCATGGGTTCTTAGCCTTCATTTCTAGGGCTCTGCCAAATCTTCCATACAGGCCTCTGTGTTTAAATCATGTTTGGATTCCAATTAAAAATGGATGTATTATTGTTGAACATCTGAAGGGAGTAGTAGTCATGTTATGAACTTTAGTTGGGCCTTGCCTACTAGCATAACAATTGGATTTTCAATAAGAATCATGGAAGTACAAGATGTGAGCTACTTTTATTTGTGGACACTTATTATTTACTCTTTAATCAAAAAACATAACATTTCTATCTTGTTCCATATGTAGACATGAACCACCTAGTATATTTATATAATAAATATATGTACAAACATCTATAATGTGAGCAAATAAAAATATATATTACATTTTCGATTTAAGTAGACTTGGACAATATTGATACTGGCTTATATAAACTTATATAAATATATCATTCTACAATAATATGATATATTGTACAGAATATTGTGTATATTAATTCACACCAAGAGATATCTATGAAATCTGCAGTAACTATACCTGGGGTTAGAAAATAAATCTGCACAACTCCATAATTTCAAATTAAAGGAACTATAAGGGATAGAGAATGCAAAATGATAGTAAAACCTGTCTAATCCGAACGCCATTGGGACAGGCTCAAAGTGATCAGATTAGAAGGTGTTCATATTTCGAGGACATGTAGAAGGGTCAGAGAGTGAAAAATGAAAAAGCAATCTTTTCTAAAAGCATGCCAATGTTTCTCTTAACAATCCTCATTTTATTTTAGAAAAATTGAGACGATTGACCACTTTTAGAAGATACTGAAAATTCAAGATGAAAAAATATCCAATTAATTACAATTGAAAAAGGGAAGTCCCATTTTTCAATTTTTTGACAGATTAACTTATAATCAAAAGAGCATCCTTGAATAAAGTCACAACTGTTAGACTTTTTAGAAAATACTACATGGATGATGAGAGCAAAAACTCATCTGAACACTCAACTTCTCTCTATCCCTTTTGTCCCTTTATCATGTCTCTTTATTCATCTTTGTCCATTCAAATTATGCTATGGTCCATGATTTTGATGAATCCTAAATGACATGCATGAAGCCATTGCTCTTTGAAAAATTACAGACATGATCTGGTGTAACGATGTACATAAACTGTAAGTTCATAATATTGATCATTTTTCTCTACTTTGGCATATTTCATTTTATGCTTTAACTAGTTATTTGGTTAAAAAGATTCAGCATTTACAGTAAAAACGAGATAAAATTGATATACTTTACAGGGTCCATTAAAATGTTCACAATAAATAAAATAAAAGACAGTACAACAGTTACACATCATAATAATAAATGCATAATAAACCCCACTTATACCTTATTTTATCAAATCTCAGTATACATCATACAACCATTACATAGTAAGAAAAACATAGGAGATTTTCAAAGAATCTCTAACTGCAATAAACATTATCTCATATTGAAATCTTGTGAGTAAATACATTACAAAGTACTATAAACGTTAGAAAGCACAGTTTGTTCGCACCACCAAGCCTGGGAGGTTCACTGTATATAAACATTGATGGGGATCCTTAGCGCATGTGGGGTATAGTTTTCAATATTTGGTATTGCAATGGACCCAGATTTTAGTATCTGATATGAGAATGCTTGAAATATGACTTCTGAGGTATGGCAATGGTCAAATTTTCCTAATTTCTGGTATGAGAATAGTTGTGGAAGATATGTTATACAACACTTTTGGTGTGGGATTTCACCAGAAGTTACACATGTCCTTAATTTGAGGTTGTTTCGGATCATTTTCTGGATATTTGGTATGGCACTGATCGTATATTTGGACATTTAGTATGGCATTGGCAACTATTTTGACATTTGGTATGGTTTTGGGGTGTTATTTACACATAACTACAAACAGTATTGTACAAATAAGTTGGTATGGGAACATGGTGAAATTTTATAGATTGGTAGGGGGACATACTGATATCTTAGGGTTCAATCTAGGACCCCCGCCAGAGTTTGTATGCAGTGAACCTCCAGGCACCACTGAAGACTGTAGAAATACATGACACAACACAGAAGCCAGGTTGAAACATTTAATAACTTGGGGGTGTTTTGGAATACTCACAACTTGCCCTTACCCCATAGTTACCAAATGACCCATTCCTGATTTTAAACATCAAGTTTGGTCTTTTCCACTGGAGTGGTTCTTGTCAGGAAGGTCAAGCTACATGCTTTTAAGAGAACTTGTACGTGAACATGTAATCATCCTCCTAAGCAGGTGTCCAGAATCCGTACCTCCTTCCTCCTGCTATAACCAATTTGGAAGCACCCGATTAAACTGAGTCACATGATCTAATTATGCGCAATGACTTATACATGATTTCTGTTGCAGTGTTGCGACAGCCAATCAGATTGCCAGTTCTTAATCTGGGAAGCCAATCAGATTGCGAGTTCTTAATTGGGGAAATGCTAACTGCTTATCGCAGGGGGTAAAAAGAAAGAATATATTCTGGATTTTGAAGCCGTGATCTGAAGTTGACATGTAATATGACCCAAAAGGACTACTTTCCCCTCCAATTTGTTTTTCCAGGGACCTAATTACAACTGCTTTACATGTATCTCTAGCCTTTATACTCATTCATTCAGGTAAATACTATGGATGGGATAACTCATCCTCATCCTTAAAGTACCATAATTCCACAGAATCACGCACAAGTTCTCTAAAAAACATGTAGCTCAATAATATGCATATTATCAACCCAATAAATCAATCCTCCTCCTGAGCAATGGAAAAATATCCTCATACAAACTTTATTCACCTGACACCACACTGTTCTATTACAAGATACAAGTTCTATAATAACAAGTTCTATGACAAGGAAAGACATTGCACATTGCTTTGTAATTGGAATTACAATTGTGTCATTTGTGATTACAAAAATATCTCGATGTTCAAAGTATGTGACCTAAATGACATTACGTTGTGCATTATTTGAGTATCTGGTTTGCATTGAAGGTTCAACTGAGGGGTGTCACTCAATGCAATATTATGAAAGATGAACACTGAAAGTCTTAAGTTAAGGATACAAAGCAGGCCCGTAACCAGGGGGGGGGGGATTCGCAGGGTTCGGGCAACCCCCCCTGGACAAAAATTCTTTCAAAATCATGCAGTTTTTGACCATTTTGAGCACTTCTCAAGTGATTTTGGCCTAATTTGGGCCAAAATTGTCAAATGTGAACCCCCCCTGGAAATTTTTGAAAATTGAACCCCCCCTTGGCAAATCCTGGCTACGGGCCTGCAAAGTCTCGTGTCAATGTATTAATTACTGGATTTTGGTCATGGAGATATTTTGCTTCTAAATGTAAGGCCGGGGTCACCTTTCTTTCAATAGGTTATTGCACACATAGCAAACTTGGACGGTCTCAGTCTGGGCAGCAGGCGCTGAAAATAATTTTGTTATTAAGCAATAATTATAATATGTATTCCACAACCTGAAGCCGTATGTATGCTTTCAAAAGATTGTTATTACTATATCTATAGAAGATTAAATTATTTTTAAAATTCAATCTTGAAAAAGTAAGGTTCTGCCATATCTATACAACTTCAAATATCAACAAAATGCAGTAATTTCTATCAAACTTTGAGAAGGCAAAAATAAGTGAAAATGCTGAACTTGTGGTGTATTAATTTACCTGTGGCTCCAAATACTGCCCTGGGCACCTTGTGGGAACAACATCTTGAACAGAAGTGATTACCACAGTGACTGCAAATATGCTAGAAGAAAAGAAAATGATGGCTTAATCATAGTCTTAAATCAGGCCCTTATAATATAAAGCCTCTATACTAGAGGCTAAATCATTTCTTAACTACAAATGTGACAAAATGAATAACAGACTGCAATGTCTAAGGTTAGTTGGCCAATGATGCCAAATATATACCAATAGAAGACAAGAACAGAAATTTACACCATATTACATCAGTACTCTGAGCCAATAGAACCTGGTTCTATTTTAGTTATGTTTACAAATAATAGACACAATAGATGTCAGCACTTCCCACTGTCTAGTAAACTTGATGCGAATAGAAATATTCTTGAATTATGTCATTAAATATTCAAAATTCAGTCAAAGTGATGTCATATTTGAAATCTACATGTAAAAGTACATCTAATAAGATGTTTTGAAAATTGTTTAGCAACTTTGAAAATTTAATTTTTTCTGAAAATGTGACTTCTAGTTCGGGTTGATTCCTCATAGACCCCATGTTACAAAATCACAAAAAGTGAAATATCTTTTCTTGTATTGGACTGATAACATTTTCTTTTACTGGACATATTTTAATTTGCATAACTATTAGATACATAAGGATTATATAAAATCAGCCCTTAGCATAGGATTTGATCCTATGTTTTCAGATTAACTTTCTACTATACCCACCATGTTATCTGACCCGAACGAGCCACCTGGTGGCGAAACTGGTAACTACCTACTCGCATCTGCGTTATTTAAAAGCTTTATTTTGGAACTGAAACAATTTGACTGCCTTACCCTTCTTTTTAAAATGGCTGAGAATGCCACCTGGCAACTTGAACATGAACTAGGCAACGATGCAGCATGTTCTTGTCGCCTTCTTCGCAAGTCTAATATTTTGCTGACAACTCCTAATTTAGGTTCAGCTTCATTTGAGCCACGACTGTCTGGAGAAAATGTATCAAGATCTTGTCTCAGTTGTAGGAATTGCACTGGGGATTCTTCATCTTCTGACCCCTCTCCAAGTACACTGTATGAGGCCTGGAATATGAAATTCAAAATTCATCAGTTCAGTATTGTTAGTACACTGATATAAAGTATCAGATTGGATGGTTTCATGTCAATATTGAGGCAAATTGATAGAAACTCAGTTAAAATGTCCTATTCTTTTCTATTCTGATTGACAAATTAGATGTATTCAATACATATTGCTTCTGACAACATCAATTAGTGGAACTTTTGTAGATGTGCAATTTACTCAGTCCACCTCAAAAAAGGTCAACAATTTTTCAAAGTGGTATAAAGCTGGTATATTCCTCCAAGAAAATACTGAAAAACCTATAGGCTATATAAATATCTCTAACAACCTATATAAATATGTGTAGTACCCTATCTGAAGACTGTAACTGTATTTTTGGAATGTCTACTTTGGATTTTGGTTTTGAACTGTTTCTGGTTCGTAACATTTCAGCTTCCACTTTCAGCCTTAACTCCTCATCGACTGCCGATTGTGTGGAAATATTGTTTACAGGGTTGACTGAATTGGTACTGCTGCTGCTGCACTCTATTGGACTGCTATTTCTCTGTTGGTCCCCACTAGAGGGCTCTGAGACACCTTCTAGCGCACTGTGTTTCATGTGTAGTATATTGAGAATGTCTGCAAGACATGTATGCAAATACCAAGTCAACCACTATGGTAAAATATACATGTACCATGGTATAAAAAGGTTTATTCCATAGTTAGCATGATATTCATAGGATAACATGTGAAAATAAAAACGGTATTTTTGGAATCAGTGGTAAAATATGATATTTTTGACAAATTTTCACTTAACCATAGCATACGGTTTTTAGCCATGACATACGACGTCATATGCGATGGTTTATGGATTTTTGCTACTTCAGACTCAAAACGAGGCTAAGTGTCAACATCGCCGGATCGTTTGGAAAATTTGAATTAAATGACTTAATTTCCGACGATTCTGATGATGACTTTAACTATGGAATAAAAAGAACATCCTATGATTTACTCGTGATACTACGCTCGCTTGTGCAGATATCATATCCATTCGTGGATAAAAATCATATCACTCATAAATCATAGGATATCCTCTATGTATACCAATGAAACTGTAAGGCAGGTGAAGTGACTCATATTTCAACTTGAAAAACTTGTTACTTAAAAGAAATTTTACTTTGCAATTGCTGTAACCTATATCACAGATATTTTTCTTTGAATAAGTTTCTCCGTAATTTAAAGTAGCCAATTATACAAATAGTGACTGCCATTGAGGGAAATAGTGCAAATTATTATATACCTCAAATGTATTCTAGATGCTCATCGGCTTATTCATGGTCACATGACATGGAATAGATGAACTAATTCCCTGGAAAGTCCTAAATCCCTGCTTTCAGGGAAGATGAATTGTACTAATCACCAGTTAGGTCATGTGACCAGTCAATAGTACATTTTATCTTCCCCCAAATCTGAGATTATAGGAGTTGAAAGGTAAAATGCCTTTAAATGCCAATAAGAACCTGTGAACATTTGATATTGAAATGAAAAGACTTCTCATTTTGTTTTTGTTTACAGAGTACTTATCAGGTATATAATAAAACAAATAGTGACTGCCACATTTTCGGGAAATAGTGTAAAAATCTTCCTCTCGGGAATATCCTGTCCACTGACTTGTTCCCTCGGCCTGCAGCCTCGGGAACATGTCAGTGGACAGGATATTCCCTTGAGGAAAATATTTTGTACTATTTCCCTCAATGGCAGTCACTATTTGTACAATATTTTTCCCGAGGGAATATCCTGTCCACTGACATGTTCCCGAGGCTGCAGGCCAATGGAACATGTCAGTGGACAGGATATTCCTGAGGGGAATTTTTTGACAGTATTTCCCGAAAATGTGGCAGTCACTATTTGTTTTATTATATACCCCAAATGTACTCTGTAAAAAAACAAAACATTTCAACATTTAATGTTTACAGGTTCTTATTGGCATTTAAAGGCATTTTGCCTTTCAACTCCTATAATCTCACCTATCAGGGAAGATAAAACGTACTAATGACTGGTCACCTGACCTACCTGGTGATTAGTATATTTCATCTTCCATAATACCAGGGATTTAGGACACTCCAGGGAATTAGTTCATCTATTTCATATCATGTGACCATGAATAAGCCAATGAGCATCTAGAATACATATCAGGTATATAATACCAATATATCATACATTGACTCACCTTTACTGGATCTATGTAAGAATATAGCATTTATTGACACTAACACTGTCAACTTTAATGGGAGTATATAAAGACCTGCTACAACACCACAGCATATCATATAGAACCTGAAAGATAAAGAACATTGAATCTTCCATTTCCTAATGATACATAAACTTTAATTTATGTCCAACTCATTAAGTATGTTATGGGTAATATTAGGATCCAATCAGATTTGTCCAATTCTTTGTTGTAATTAAATGGCCCATAATGCAAATAGATAAACTTGTAAACCAGAGAACTATCCTGAAATAAAATCAAACTTTTGGGACTTTTTTAGAAATAGTCATGATGTGAAAGGATGAGCTCAAAGAATAAAGTAAAATTTTTTAATTTTTCTGACCAGACTTTGAACTCCTATCACATATTCCTTTAATTGTGAGATTGGAACTGTAACCTCTGAAATGTGACTCTCCTTGGGTAACTTGAATCAAATATTTCAGCCATGGAAAGTTTTGTGATGACACATCATTTTAAACATGATATAATAATTCCATATACACATACCTTATAGAATCTCTTGGATTTTGCCACTTTATAAGACTGTAAAACTGCACAAATATATTGGTAGCCAATGATATACATCTATCTATCTCAAACAATCTAAAATGTAGAATACTTTCTTATTGGATAATTAATTTTAACATAGGTTTCAAGAAAAAACTCTCTTGAAAGCCCATGCTTTTACATGTAACTACATTGTAATTAATTCATTCTGAAATTGTGAATTCACAAAATGCAAAATACTCAATTCTATACATATATTCTTAATATAGTCTTAATCTAGAATTAAAATTATATAAAACTGGATGGAATTGTCTTAATGATAATACGAACAGATTTAGTAAATATTTTGATAAACAAAAAATAGAGTACTATTTACTGTAAAAAATCAACATTACATACATTGTTCGAAATTCAGACACAACATCGGAGGGATGCCCATTGTTCTGAATCTGTCTCCTGTTTGCTTGGTAACCACTGACATCTGGGATTATCTTCTTCAGTAAGTTATTGTGATGATGGAGAGCTCCTAATCCACACAATACTCCAAATAACATAATGGCAAATATGGCTACAAACCCTGGAATATCAGATGATGCAAATTATATGCAAATTCATGAAATTTATTGAAGTTTTTATTTAGGTCAAGGTCGAATCAATGTATAGTATCACAATTCTAAATTATTTTCATTTTGGCATTATGTACAAATAACTATGGCTGAAATTCAGTCAAAATATTGCTGAACTAAGGTTTTCTATTTATTACATTATAGATATTTTAATTTATGTTTGTTCCTATTTATTGTCATTTTTAATTCACAAATTGGTTATTTTGGCCTATCTGCCATAAGCTTTTACCAATGGCATTATACATGGTATTAATTTATTTTAAATATTGGTTGTAATTTTGTCTCACCAATATTTCTATCTATATAATTATATGATCCTAACTTATAATTCTGCCTAAAAAAAGCACAAGATTAAAAAGTAAAAACCTGAGTAAGTAGAACCCCTTTTGTACCTCTAAAAAAGTGTAGGAGGTGTTTCACTTACAAGGTCGATTAATGGAAATTCAATTGGTCATTGGATTCTGATAAGTGTTCCACATATGAAGTTGTTCCACTTACAGAGAAAGGTGTTTACCTTCACAGGGTTGACTGTATGGAAAGGTTAAAATGAGCCACTTACCCCTTGAGAAGATAAGACACAGGAGATTGCACACTGCCCATACACTAAATGTATGCTTCAGGTTTTGGCAACTGGGAAATATAACATCAGAGTTCTATAGAGTAAGAGTCTATATGGCCTATATTATATAGGCCATAGACTCTTACTCTATATAATATAGTATATTGTTACTGTTCATATTTCAAAAACAGAATATAAAACATGAATTTTTAACTCAAGCTCAAAAACAGAACAGATTGGAATGTATCAACATACATGTAAAGCCCAGTATACACCAATGGGGCAAATTGGGACCTCCATAGACTTAACATTGCATGGGACCTCGTGGGACCTTTTGGGATTTTGCCCCATGAAGTCCGTGGGACTCCATGGGACTCCGTGGGATTTTGCCCCATCTTGCCCCATCGAGTCCCACGAGGTCCCATGAGGTCCCATGAAGTCCCACATGGGACTCGGTGGGACTTGATGGGGCAATATGGGGCAAAATCCCACAGGGTCCCATGGAGTCCCATCGAGAATGAACATGTTCATTCTTTCCATGGGGCATCGTGGGATTTTCGATCAAATGACGTGTTGCGTGAAGCCCGACATACACCAATGGGGCACGGTGGGATTTGATGGGACTCCATGGGGCACGATTGGGCAAAGTCATCAAGGTCCCATGGGACGTTGTAGGATTCGATGGGGCAAATTGGGATTCGATGGGGCAAGATGGGACTCGATGGGGCAAGTGGGATTTTGCCCCATTGGTGTATACCGGGCTTAAAATGTATATTTTTAAATTAATCATCTATCTCAATTTCAAATTAAGTATCAAATAGAAAAAATGTTAATGCAGGATAAACCCATTATTGCTTCATTTTGATTTCATAAAACAGGACATTGTTGCTATAATATTACCATGTTCAACTTCTATGGTATGATTTATATCATAATTTACATTTGCGTAATATCATCATAGTTGATATGCGTGTGGCCATCACAGTAGTCACATTCAAGTGGAATCAAAATGGCTAATCATGAAAAATGGACTGAAAATATATCCTACTCCAATAAGAAAATGCAACCACAAACTTGACCAATCAGAGAACAGTACCTCATTTTTGTGTTTCAATGCACAGATATCTTTTCAATACTCTTTGATAATCATAAAAAGAAACATTGAGAAAAAGAAAATGAAAGCATTTTTGCATTAATAGATTCAAAATATATTCACTTACCTGTAAACAAACTGAACATATCGAGCGGACAGCCAGAATGGTCTTGCTAATATCTTCAATTTTTCTACATTACACACTAACTCTGCTAAGTCAAGGCTTCTGCCTTTCCCTTCATCCATCCGGGATTCTGAAATACATATGGCTGCCACTTGTGACAATGGTATTTCACTTTATCTTTCTCAGGGTGTTCCGATGTGTATGTGATTACATAATCCTTTTTCCTTGTGTGTGAATATACCCAGAGAACCTGATAGCGACCAAAAGATGGGGCTGACTCAGATAAGTTAGTCTTTTGGAGTTTTGACCTACAGTACTCATACATTGAAAGCCCATGTAATCAATAGGCGGATTATCACACCTCTGGTGCTTTATTTATATACCTGAGATTTGTCAGGACCCCCCTAATGACTTACTCCAGTCTCTAGCCAATTCTTGGCTAGAAGTAATTTTATCTGGAACACTGTGAACCATTTGAAAAAAGCTGGCCGGCGTGTTATATTAATTTATTAAATATTTTAAAAATCATCAGATATCAAGAATTAAAATGGAACTGGCTGGGCTGCTTGATGAGATATTGCATGATTTTGTCAGGATTTCGTCTAAAATCAAAACGAACGGCTCCAAGAAAATGGCAATATTCAAAAACTGGAAGAAATGTCATAATGTTTGACATTAGTAACTGGCTGTAAATTCTAAGTAATAGCGATCCAGAAGATGTAAACTAATACATTGATCACTTCATGTGTGTTTTGGAATTTTCGGTGAGGTAATAATACCAAAACTCGGAATTCAAATTGTGATGTGGAAAAATGGCGAACATTTGATTTAAATTTTATGATTACGACATGACCCGTATACAGCGACATGACTCACATCCAGCAGAGTAAAATACGTGCAGTGATTTATCTTTGGACAAAGGCCACAATATAGTGGCCTTAGAAGAAGGTAAGTCTACTGACTCTGTAGGCCTTCTGATTTGCTTTTGGTATCAAAATGCATTTGAAATGGACAAGTCCACAATCATTTAATACAAATTAAAAAATATCAAGATAAGATTGATATACAATATTCAGGCTTGACGATCAACATAAACATACCTTCTTAGACTCCAACGGAAGTCAGGAAACCGCAGGTTTTGAAGACAATTTGTGACAATTTTTTTCCAACATTTTCTTTAAGGGAAATACTTTTTGATTGGCCGAGACAGAAAATGACGTCATCTAGTTCTATTTCCGGAAATATTTTTGAAAAAGTTTTAAAGTTTGAAACTTGAAGAAAACCAGCAATACTATAAGTATGTTAGCTTTGATTTACATAGAGATATGAATTAATGATCAAATATATACAGTGAACAAAGATATTTCACAAATCGATTCCATTAGAATAATATTATATTATTAAAAAATTGATTCTAAGATGTATCAACTTTTTGGTGGGTGATATTTGACAATGTTTTTATTCCCACCCACCTGGTCAAGTGGTCATGTGATAAAACCTGACCTCATAATTTATCTGTGTGAGATAATATGACTTCAAAATGTTATCAGCACAGTCATTTCCTCTACTGAGTGAATTTGCCTGTTAAATATTTTAGAATATGACTGTGAGTCAGAATACTGGGACATCTTATTGACCTTATTGGATTTTGAGGGGCAGAGATATCAGGCCTGTCAGCTGTCCCGCAATTTGCGTATTTGTCATGCATTTGCTGAAGAATTTGAAGTCACGCCAGTTTTTTTTGCGTGACAGAAAATGTCACGCAAATACGCATTTTACCTGGTAATTGTCAAGCAAAAATATTTCTGTAGAAAATTTTTCAAAATATGTTTACGATACGGTAAAAATACGAACGTCGGAAAAAAACCGAACGCAATTTTTTCGGATTTGTCATGCGAATCACGTATATGTCACGCATGTTAATTGGAAATTTTCGTACCTCCCCCTCAGGTGTTCAGATTTGGACTTAGGTGTCCAACATTTGTAAGTCACTCATATTAGGTGGTCCCAAGTTGACAGCCCTGGAGATATGTACTACAGTGTTTCTGTTGTAAATATGGTTGAATCATTTACTGATCTATTTAGCTTGTCAAATAAGTTTTTCACTGAGCATCTAAAAGTCAAAAAATTGAAATGATTAGGTTTTACAACATACATACATGTACATGTACATGTACAGTAGAACAGTAGCAGGCCTAAACTTAAAAACTGATTGTTGCAATGCAACATCATTTCTCCAGGGATTTTTCAGAGATTTCTTAGGGGGGTACAACTCCCGGGGGTTCAACTGCACCCAACACACCCCCATCTGATGAGTCTGCATAGAGATTAATTGGGATTACAATGTACACGTAACACACTAATTTAATAGTGGATACAGTTGTATGAACCATGTTGTCTGCCCTGCAGGTCAATTGTTCAAAATGGGATAAGCTTAATGCTTCAGTTACATTTGGTCTTTGGCAACCATATAGTGGCTGTTAGTGTAGCTTCCAAAAATTGATAGATATATGCAGCATAAAATATGGGGATACAATGTAGATTTTCAATATCAATTTTGTGAAGCCACAGCTGCCATACACCTGCTATAAAGCAAATGTGTTTAAGGCTTCAATTATATACCATGGACTTCAAGATGAATTAATAATTATACAATATGCTTTTTCCAGTTTGTCCAGATTTGTCCACAATGTACAGATTTTACTCATCTCTGTTATGTTCTCTGTTGGCCCTGCTTGGTAAAACAGTGACATGCGACTATATAATTGATGCATCGCAAGGTCTCGGCAGAATGTTTGATGGTATTGGAGGCATTAGTGGAGGTGGGGTAAGGAGCACATAAATTACATTAAGAAACTGAAAAACTGTACAGAACTCATAAACTCCATAGTTCCACCTCAAGGAGTGCACATACACAGAGGATTGATATTCAAGTATCTGATTTTCTGACTACTGGAATGTTCCCAAGACTATATTACAACTTTGTCCCTATTGGACTTGTGTTTGAGAACAAGACTAAACTGAAAAGTACATGCAACCCATGCACCATACTAAATAATTGTGTTCTAGGCAACATCAAAACTGCTGGTTAACTACCCAAAGAAACAGAGAGATGAAATTCTAGATTACCTATTCAAGGTGAGCCCATTGCTGTATTGCTCAGAAATAAATCATCTTCCAATAAAAGAAAAACTGCTTGAGAACATTTTCCAAGATACTGCATATGTATCATAGATGTAGAGAATTGCTGTAGTGTAGTTGTAAGCTGTAGTATTGCAATTAATTAGCATTTGAGGAAAAAATTAACTCCTGGAAAATTTTTGCACTGTTTTTATTCAGCCGAACTATGCAGCGTCCCTGCAGATTTTGAAGGTTGAAATAGGGGGTGACTCTCAGAGTACAGATGGTAGTGAATCATCACACATGCATACTGAGGAGGATGAGAACTACCAGCGAGGATATGAGTGGTTCATGATGAAAGAAGCTAAAAAGGTACAGAAGCTGATAAATACCTATACATAGCGTCTCTGATTTAGCCATACATACATGTATATCATACATAACACATTTAAAAGATGTCTCCCATACTATCTAATATTTACTTTCCTCACCTAATATTTAAGGGCTACCATGGGTATTCCTTGATGTTAAACAAAGAGGACTCATGCTTCAATTGGACTAGTTTAATTTTCGTTAATCTGTTTCAGCGTAATCCAGATATTATACTTTATGGGTTACCTTGGGTATTCCCTGGGTGGCTAGGAGGAGGTAAATTCGACCCATTCTCCAACAGGACCAATCTGGTGCGCTACACTACCAACTGGGTAAAAGGAGCTAAGAGGGAACATAATTTAACAATAAATTATGTTGGGGTAAGCCCAAAATTCAACAAACATGTACTTAGGATGAAAAATGTCAAATGTATTGTTTGGAAAATAACTGACTGATAAAGTGTTTTATGGTCCATGATTTTCTTTAAATGATGAGTGGACTTTATTTCATCAAACTGAAAGTTAGATTTTTTGATTTTTTGAGTAATATTACCTTGTTTTACAGGTGTGGAATGAAAGGACATGTGACTATGACTACATAAAGGTAAAGTTCAAGCCATGTGCCCATGTTTAAAGGACCATTCCAACCCTTTATTCTTCAACACAAATGAGTCACATTGATATATTATTCTGCTTCAGTTTGACCCAGGAAGCATGAAATCATTTACTCTATAAATACTTGTTTCTAAACATTACATAATGCCTTGTTTATAGTTTAGCAACTTGCCGTACATGTTCAGTTTACCAATTCAAAATTGTGTGGCTTCAGATGCTACGTAAAGCTCTTGACGTTGATGGATTCAATGATGTCAAAATTGTGGCGTGCGATGGAGGATGGGGGTTTATTGATGATGTCATATCAGACCAGGATTTAGCGGACTCCATTAATGTATTAGGGTAAGGCGACCTTTGATTTTTAGTATTTTGTTTCCTATATCTTTTCTAACTGGGTCACTACATCTCCTATAGCTGGTCAAATTTCAAAATTTCTCCAGCTCACATATAAATTTTGGGTAGGCATGGATAAGAGCTGAAAACATTTAAGGTGTCAAGTTTATCTAAATAATTCAACACAAAAGTCAAAATAACTTTTCAAAGTCGTTGCTATGATAAGAGCTAGTAAGAAAATCTCATAGTAAAGGATGCTCCAGAACATAGCCATCTAAGGTCAAGGTCACCATTTTAATAGGGAGTTTAAGCTTTATACAAGATCAATACACCAATCGCCCATACAAATGCTTCACTTAAATGTTTTCCATTCACATTTAGGTTACATTGCAAGCTTAAACTCCCTCAAATGTCAAATGTAATGGCGTTTTCACTTGATTTTCCCCTATGTAGGTGCATTACAGACCAATTGCCATGTCAAAGTACAGTAAATCTGTATGCATGTAAATGTATGTCACTTATTTATCACATTGTATATTGTACATGATATTGATCTAAATTTATATCCCCAAATGCATTAATAAATATACATGAACAGTAAAACCTGCCACTGGGACAGGCCAAGAATGTTCAGATGGGCAGGCATTCACATTTCAAGGTTTCTTAATATATGACTTGCTAGGGGATAACAAAATTTGACCAAGAAAAATGTTCAGATTAGAGAGGTGTTTGAATATACAGGTTTTACTGTAGATAATTTTATTATGTGTTTCAGAGCACACTACCCAGGATCTCAGACACCATCAAATGCTCTTAGGATTGATCGCAAGCTTTGGGCAAGTGAGGAGTACAGTGCTTACAATGATGATAAGGGAGGCGGTTGTTGGGCCAGGGTAAGTGAAACTTATAATGAGCTGAGGGAGAGAGTGAAATCTCAGAATTTGGTTGTTGGACATGGGCCTTCCCATCACACCACTTGGTGGCATCTTTGAATCTATTGAAGTTTGACTGACATTTCAAAGTCAGTATCAAGATTCAAGTCAAAAATAAATTGTAGTCATTTAAAAGGGCAGTAGTGTCCACATGTCCAGTCCTAAATACTAGTGGTGTCAATTAACCGCCTGAGCATTAACCGGTTAACCGGGGGTTTTTACCGGTTAAAGTCGGTTAACCGGCGGGAAATTTGAACTGATGATTTCAAATGAAATCTTCATCTTCGATCTTGAAAGTTGAAACAAATTGGAAAAATGATATATCGGCGTTTATTTTTTACGTTCGTCAAGCTTTACTCTATTCTAAGTAAGTAAGCGCGGGAATGCAATGTGGCAGGGATTAAAGTTGCTAATTGGATGTTTGTAAGGAATTATCGGACCTATCACATGTATGAGTAGCTCACATGAAACTGACGCTTGAAAAACAAACAGATTAAAATGCAAAGTAAGCGCGGGAAAGCAATATGGCAGGGATTAAAGTTGCTGATTGGATGTTTGTAAGGAGTTATGGGACTTATGACATGTATGAGTAGCTTACGTGAAACTGACACCATAAAACCAAACGGATTAGCATGCAAAATTAGCGCGGGAAATCACAGAATTATACACGGTCAACTAACCGCCCATAAAAACACAGACCGGTCAAGGCATTATCGGCGGTTAACCGGTTAACCGGTTAATACTTGACACCTCTACTAAATACACAGCTGGGTTAAAACTGTAAAAGCGTCAAGTTCCTCTAGAGGTTCTGCAAGTTATTGGTAATAATTCCAGTAACAAACTGTTCAAATACATGTATTTTATAATATAAGACACGATCTTCTAGTTTTTGATGATGCCTTTTTGATTTGTATGTTAAGCTAATACTTATTTGAACATGTTTGAAATGTCTTGTCTTGTCCATGTCTTGTGCAGCTTTGTGAAATTCCTTGCAAAATTCCGCACATTTTGTTCATTATTATTGCCATCGGTGTCATCATTTTTATGTCACCACCCCGCTTGAGGCACCACCCCAAGTGGTCATATATTGTCATTTTTCTGGACAGTGGTTGGTGATTGGTGATCAGCGATTGTAACAAATGGCAGGTAGTGACATTTTGCATGAATGCCTCCTTGTTAACTTAATCATTAGAATAGGCTATATTCTGTATTCGTAGAAACAAACAAAATACCATAACATAGCTCCATCTACTAATAACTATAGGTTAATAAGACTGCTGTTTTCAGATTCTTAATGAGGGATACACTGATGGTTTCCTGACTGCCTTCATTTCTTGGAATCTTATATCAAGCTATTACAAGAATCTGCCTTACTCCCGTAGTGGCTTAATGACTGCTGATGAACCATGGAGTGGCCACTACACTGTCAACTCACCAATCTGGATCTCAGGTAATATCCTATGAAAAAACCTGTGTATTTTGAACATTTTTTTGCTGAAAAAAACATCCAGCGTTTGTAGATTTTCTCTACAGAGAGGGTAATTTATACAGAAGTCAATAGAGGATGTGTATGGGAAAGTTGTCCACTGGAGAGAGATGTTCAATAAGACAGGTTTACTGTATTAATAATCAGATATAAAGGTGGCAATATTGTTATATTGTTACATTCACATTATTATTGCTCTGCTGTCTTCCTAACATGTTTTGTATATTATTGAATCATGCACAAGTTATTTGAATGGAACTGTCATCATCAGAACTTTTTTGGTCTCCCTCTACAGCCCACCATACCCAGTTCTACAGGCCAGGCTGGCAGTATCTACTACATGGCTATGGTGTAGGAAATCTAGCACTGAATGGATCATACATCAGTCTCATCAGTCCGGATCACCAGGACCTAACTGTTGTCATAGAAACAATGGTAATACATTGATGATTTCATAATATATGTCACAAATACTACTGCTTATGTTTTATGTGTTGAAATGAATAAAACTTGATCTTTTTTCTCATATGTCTTGTGATAAACTTGTTAAATGTAGCTATATTTTTGTGCCACATAATAATAAACATTTTAATTTTTAATATTTGAACATTTTCCCATGAAGTAAAATTGATTGCTAAGTATAATGTCATCACATGGTATCCATCTTTGAGATACTTACTATATTCCATAAAGATTAGATCAACTATGATTCTTCTCAACTTTCTACTCAACATATTGTAATTTGAAAATATTTGTGATTGCAGGATCCAAATATCGTGACATGTTTCTACCCGCAGCCAAAATACAATATATCAAGCCAGACTGCTGTTTTCAATATTGGCGGAAAACTAAAGGTATTTATGAAAAAATGTAAAGATATATTTCCTCATGTATAGTTCTATTATGCTATACTTTATGTGTTAAATTTCGAACAAAAAATGAACCCAAAGTCTCCAAATAAATATGTATATATTGTATAGACATTTCTTCACACAAGGCCCCTTTGGCTACATGTCTTGTATAATATGACTGACTTTCTTACAGTGCTTGTTTGTTGCAGAGGCAGATTAACATGTTATATGTATGGAGGACAAGATTAACATTTGATGGCAAAGATTCCCTATTTCAACAGTTAGATCCAATTAAGGTGAGTTCCAACCATTCAAATTCCCCTTGTGATATATGTGTGCTCCAAGGGCCTTTAGCTCACATGGGTAAGCTATTATAATTGCCAACTTGTTTAGCATTGGAATTAGCTCTTTATTTTGTATTTTAGTCACAGGAACATGGTTCTACTGTTGATTAATGCTCATAACAAACATTATTGCTTTTTATCTCAGGACTGGGTGCTACATTATGTGATCAGTTTGCCATATGGACAGGCTGACACCTCTAAATCTCAGAATTATATTTCAATGCGGAATCATACTTTCAGAGATGCTTCTTAGAATAAACATAGATCTCATTATTTTGCCTTTATGTGTCATTCTAGGTTATTGATGGAAAATTCATATTACATCTGAACACAAATGAAGTTTACACCCTAAGTACAATACATCGCTCGAAACAAGTGACACCTGCTATTAAGCCAAGTGGCCAGTTTCCAACAGATTATTCAGACGACTTTGAAGGTACCCATAAAAATATTTATACAGTGAAACCTGTGAAGTGGAACACCTTTAGAAGTGGAACACCTCTGTAAGTGGAACATCTCCCGAGTGGAACACTTTTTTAGAGTAATCAAAGGTGTTCCACTGAGACAGGTTTCACTATACTTACACATGTGTTCACTGAATGCTCCACATAGTGTCCAAGAGATTCAAAGTTGTATTAATTTTATTATTGAGACACTAGATTTTTATATTCATGTTACTTTGGTTATACTTTGTGCATTGTTTTTTACACTCCCAATATGGATATTTGAAATAAATGTCTCATACTGGATATAATAATGTTAAAAGTAATCGATGGGAATTTGGAAAAAACCTGGTGGCGGGTTATGACTCACCGAACTCTTTTTATGATTGACAACATAAACTCCAGAACGATTTGAAGAAAGAATAGACCCTCTCAAATCTCAGGTGCATGAGTATATTACCTTAGCTTTTAGTAACCATGTTGGATATAGTTTCAGGCAAAATCAAAATTGAGTCATTTTCTTACATCCTTCAATTTAGATTATCCAGAGTTTGGTGAACCATATAACTTTGCTCAACAAGCAGGTGTATTTGAGGTACGTACATTTGTAACAGATGGAAAAGCAGAGAATGTCATGCAGCAAGTGGTACCAGAGCCCCCTATTGATACATGTCTGCCCAAGCGTATGACACGGCCAATCACACTTATCGGCAACTACAACTGGTGAGTCAAATGCTATATGATGTATAATTCATCCAATATTCTTTAATAATGTTTTTATAACCAGAGAATCAAAATTAAAAACAACTTTTATAATATTTTCCCTATCTGTTTCATGATTATACATACACATATACATAAGTCTCATCTCCTACTAAAAGAATTTTGGAATTCTATGTTGCTGTTTTCAATAATGTGCTAATAAAAGGGAATCAAAATTGACTGCTTAGTTGGCTTAGTATCTCAAATAAATTTTGAACTCGATACATGTATTTGTATTTGAAAACAAAATGCTCTACTTGTACAGTGTAACCTATTTGTGCTCAATCATACTTTCTTTTTAATATGATTAACATTCATTTGAATCAGATAACAATGTAATTTTCAAATTATTGGTATATGCCACAGTCTTATGGCCAGTTGAGCTATAAATCTAGAGTTTGTTCACATTTGTTCAGAATCCTGAATCCTACTAAATGCAAATACCTGGAAATGGGAACACCTCGTAATCCGAAACACCTTTAGTCAGTTCCAATGCCTTTCCGAGTTTTACTGTACTTCAAAGTCATGATGATATGTATTGACAGAAATGCAAATGATAGTTTGTATAATTCATTTATTTTGAAGGACTGATGCTGACGTTAGTGTTGACTTCAACATTCCAACAAAAGGTGGTGCCACTGGTGTGTTTGTAGCGCAAAGGGTTGAAACTGGTGGATGTAACGTCATGTATTCAAGTGGCGTGTATCTCTGGCTAACACCTCCATGTGGCTACATCTTGTCATCTGACTATGGTAAGTCCAACACTTCTTGATGACATCATACTATTTTTGATGAAATAAATGTGAGATAATGTTAATGTGACATTTTAGGGACCACGGGCAATATTTTTATGTAGAATTACTGACAATATATATACATACTATTTGATTTATTCTATTAATTATGAAAATAATTATGAATAACCATGACATTTTTTTTCTTCCAGCAAAGACTAAAGTGTATGACTCAGGCTGGGCTAAAATTGAGCGTGATACATGGTACACATTGAGATTACAGGTACAAGGTAATCACACCATAGCATATTTGAATGGTGAAAAAATTGTTGATGCTCTCATAAATCCTCAATCTACAAATGGCTTCATTGGTGTAGGTACAGAGAACTTTGCAAATGCTAGTTTCAACAACTTTAAAATGCAGTCTCCTGGACCTAATATACCTCACCAGTATAGGGAAGAAATTCCAAAAAGGCCCTACTCATGCATTATTGATAAGGAGGAGTATGTATCAGATAAAGATGAAATACTTACTAACAGGAACTTAAACTCTCAGGGAAAACTTCATGCAAATGTTGCTAGATTACACCAACAAGGAAACCCTATGTTTCCTAAACACTCAAAGAAAATAAAAGAACAGGTATTTGGCAATGGTGTGTTTAAACAGGAGATTCCTAATAACTATAAGCCATAGGAATTGAACAATTATTTGCAGTATTGAGTAAATCATGTTATCTATTCATTCTTTTGTGATTCGAGAAACAAACTTTTGAATAGTTTTCAAATTAAGCAAAAATTGAGTTAAATCTATTTTTGCAGTTGATTGTATGACACACATCTAAAATGTCCTTTAATTTGGCATAATACCTGTGTTGTACATTGAGCTCAATTACAATACATGTAAATTGTATGTACATTATTGTATGTATGTAGTTAAGCATGTCTTTTATCACATGAAACATATATCCCAATATGTCAAAGAGTGCAATCAATTAAGTGTAATACCAATTTCCAATAATGGTACATGTATGTGCAATATCGTAAAAATATTGAATGTAAGGTTGAAAACCGTATGCATATACCTCACTTGGAAATATGTGCAATCAAAAGTAAATACCAGTATAGGTTCGTTACTGGTAGTCATTAATTATGAGTTTTATTTTGAGGGACAGTGTATGTATGTATATATAGGTTATTTACTGGGAGGGATTGAATATGGGTTTTATTCCGAGGGACAATATGATATTGACCGAAGGGTAATATGATATTGACCGAGAGAGCGCAGCGACCGAGTGTCAATATCATATTTCCCAAGGTCAATATCATATTTTCCGAGGAATAAAACCCATATTCAATCCCGACCAGAAATAACCTATTTATTCCATAATACATTCCTCCTTAAAATGTTACATTTGGATAATGCTTTTATCAATTAGTCAAGGTTAAAAATAACCGGGAAAACCAAAAATAGGTTAATACGTTCCAATACGATTTTTGTCCCGGGGACAATACGATTTTTCCATGTAATACGCTCCAATACGATTTTTGTCCCGGGGACAATACGATTTTTCCATGTAATACGCTCCAATACGATTTTTGTCCCGGGGACAATACGATTTTTTCATGTAATACGATTCAATACGATTTTTATTCCTTCATATTTCCCTGGGAAAACAGTAGTATTATGGAATAAGTATAATTTATTTACCTCTTAAATAAAAGAGAGTTACATTCATATTAACAGTACATTGATTGATATTGGCAGAATTAGGCTGATATCATATTGACCATTTACTCCATAAATGATCAATAAATATGAAATGTCATATTGGTGCATGGAAAGTGACAACCTTGAATCAAAAACTAAATGAATACATATTATTTGCAAATGTTGCAAATCTATTTTGAAAATCCGCTTTCAAAATTTCCTGGGAAGCAAAACCAGTGAGTACTGTTCAATAGAATTTTAATTACATTATTATTTTCCTGAGAAAACTTATTTTGGAAAAATGTTATGCTGGGATGTGTAAGCATATTATATTCACCAATATTCACAGTCAGTTATTATGTCACCACCAAAGTTGTTATGGTCTCCATTTTTTGTGATGGCTGTTGGCGTCTGGTGTTCAGCGTCTAACAAATTGTAGGTGGTGACATTTTGCATGTTAATGCATTGTTCCAGAACTGATATAAATTACCACACAAGAATTTCATTTTTATGCAACAGCTGATTTAGTTTAACATTCCATTTGCACAAAGTATTAGATAATATGATACTGTCCTCAATACAGCAGGTCATAATAATAATACTTCATTTCATGGCTGGTCAATGGGATGACTATGTGTCTATATGTTGGTGCGTCTGTTTGTCCATCCATTGGTCAGCCTGTCCATCAACATTGTTGAAACAAATCAGAACTGAAATTTATATTGTATTTGTATTATTTTGTTATCTATATTCATTTTATACCCATGTACGTATCTAGAGGGTGGGCCAAAAAACGATACCCAAGTTTAAAGATCAATATCATATGATAAATGTTAAATCATGTCATATATTTATAGGATATCCTATGATTTTGAGGAATATCATTTTTATCTACGAGGTGATATTGATATCTGCACGAGAGAGCGAAGCGAACGAGTGAATATATCAATATCACCGAGTAGATTAAAATGATATTCTGAAAAAAATCATAGGATGTTCTTATTATCCTACACTTACAAGGAGTGTACTGAATGTACAATATCATTGTAAAATGAATTTCATGCCTAATAGAGTCAATTTGGCGGGAAATCAACAAGCGGAGTATATCGTCACAATATCCTCCGCATATTGGGTTTTCCGGAGTATATCGTCAAGATATCCTCCGCCCGGAGTATATCGTAACGATATCCTCCGGATATTCATTTTGCCAATAAATATCAAATTATTTTTTCATGTTATTATACATTTAGTACACTAAGTGTAGGATAATATATATTATTTTAAAGATAAATCATTTCCTAACAATATGACACAATCTGATTGGCTTACTTGTTGCTGTAGGTAGAAGAAATGTCTTCTGAAAATTGCAATGCTCTCGGAGTTATGGTTTTGGTGTTTAACACCACTGGTGTTTATACATTTTGACAAAAATAGGACTTCATTTGTTGCAGGTTGCAATATAAGATTAATGTTTTTACAGTATGCACAGCGAGTAAAAGTCATCTATTACAATTTACTATTGTATGTTTATACCTACAAAATTTCAAACTTTATTGTGTATACCTGAAACAGTTTTGTATTGTACTACAGCAGGTTAGTATTGTATGTATCTATACACCAGTTTAGTATCTAAGGTTTATGTAGTGGGAAGTTTTGTACACAAGGTTTATTCCTAGAGAATTTGTATATCTGTATCCAATGCGAATGGTGACTGTTCATAACAGATGTATTCCATGCATTCTAAGGTTCAGGAAATACTTCCAAAATTTTATAAAATGGATAAATGTTTATTTTAGAAAGAAAATTCAAAAATACCTTTTGAATTATAGTGAAAGTAAATGATATTACAGTAACACCTTTTGTATTTCACTTGTATTTCACTTGGGGGGCGTTCCACTTATAGAGGTTCATTTAACATTATTAAGTCAGTTGGTCTTGAATATCTGAAGTGTTCCACTTGGGAGGTGTTCCTCTGTAATACTGTAATAACTTCAATAAAAAAAATTCTTCGAGATAAAGTTGGACCGGGATGGATGCAGTATTACAGCTGTATGTCTTGAACCTCGCTAAGAGAGGGATAGATACAGGAAATATCCATCTCCCTCTCTAGATACACTATATATTCCCACATGTTATATACCTAGAGCCTCAGTAAGCCTAGTATACTGTATTTAAGGAATAAATAATGATAGGCCATTCAATATGGTGAAATTCAGCACGAGTTGGACAGAATGTTGTACAAAGCACGAACCGAAGGTGAGTGCATTTGTACTAACATTCTGTCCAACGAGTGCTGAATTTCACCATATTGAATGGCCTATCATTATTTATTCCGATTCAAACATAAAAATTAGTAAAAGCCGTGTCTGTGGAACGGGCATGAAGGAAGAATACGCATGCTGTCCCCGGACAGAGCCCCAGATGTGCAGCTGAGATGTGACGTCACTCAAAACAATGCAAATTGCAGATTGAATAGAGCATGGTCGTGCATCTATGGAGAATTAGAGAACGTTCTATATTGGCTATGCTGCATTCTGATTGGTTGAGAAATTCGAATAGAGCACGGTCATGTTTGAATTACCTTTACACTAGTATTGTATAACATTGTTATAAAATCAGTTATGATTGTTATAACCTCATTTTTATTTTTTCACAAATTATAATCTGATTTTTATTATATTTTTACGAATAAAATTAATTAGAAATATCTTTTGAAATATAAAATACATCTATATTTAAAATATCTGTCTAATATTAGGAGTTAGTACTAACATAACCATTCAGATATACAGGGCGTCCACAAAAAAAGGTATATCAGAAAAAAAGAATGCAAATCCAATTACACATTTATTGCCACACAAGAAGGAAACTTGTACCAGTTGATGGAGAATAAATCAGGCTTTTTACTACTACCTTTATATTTAAAAAAACTGCCTAGAATTCTAGTAATTTGGATTTGAAGTTGGGTATACTTTTTTGTGGACGCCCTGTATTTACATAACATTGTGTACACCCTTCTCCATAAGTTTGGCAGCCAGAAGTTTTCATTTGATAAGTGTATTAGAACCCTTATATTGTTCCTTTACCCCCCTATAACTAGTTCTTACCCGTTCTTGCCAGTCTTACGAAAACGTCGTAAAACGGGCTCAATCTGGCTGTGGTCGGGAAATATGTCTAAAATAATTAGCTACTTCGTTCTTAAACAGTCTTCAATACGTCCATATCGTTCGCAGTTCGTTCAGGTCGCACCACGTCGGTGTGCAACGTCGTAGAACGCGTCCCTTAGTCTAGTAGGTCAACATGACCTGATTACAGAACGGCATGGTCGCCATCAAATTGTGAATAGATTCAAAATTCTAAAATCACCTTCCCGTCTGAGAACGTTCATGAAGTTCGTAAATAGACCTTAAAAAGTTGCAGCTACGTTCATTCCGTTCGCACTCAGTTTAAAACCAGTTTTGAAGAACGCAGTGGCAACTTGTTTGGTGTGATAGCTATATTTTTGCCAACTCGTTCATAAGCAGTGTTAAATACGTTCTTAATCAGTTTAAACCCGTTTGCAATTAGTTCTACCTCGTTCTCAATACGTCCTCAGACAGTTCAACTCGTTGTTAAAACGTCCCTTGTAGGATTGAAGTACGACGGTTCCGTTCGTAGTACGTCCAGCTCGTCGTTAGTACGTTGTCACTTGTTCTAATTGTAGAACGTATCGATCACGAGAACATTTTGAGCATGTTCTAAGTTCTAGAGGACCTACCCGTTCGAGTACGTTCGAGGAAGTTTGTAAATAGACCCCAAACGGTTCTAAGTACGTCCAGTCCGTTCGTACACAGTTGAAGCCCGTTTTTGAGAACGTAGTGAAAACTAGTTTGGTGTGATAGTAGGGTTATGAAAATACTTTGAGTTCGGTTTATGACTTTAATAAACATAAACATCCTTTAACAGGCGATCCGGAAGGGGTGGTCTTCTGGTAGGCAAACTTCTGGAGGGGTGTATAATAATGAAATCCACAAATAAGCCCTGGGGGTTTATTTCATGAAAAGTACACAATCATATTTCGCTGATACTTTGGATATTAAGAGGTCTTGTCAAAAATTAAAATCCAGCAAAACACACATTAATAATTGTTAATTGTTGCTTTGACTTTACATTATACACATAGTACTGGCACGTGTATATATGAGTCGAAATACTAAATCAATTTAGCATCAAACCAAGATGGCTGTCCCAAATGTCCTTGTCGGTGGCGGGGATTTTGTTCAAAATTGTAAACTTCTGAAATTGTTCAATGGTTTGAGCTGACCCCAAAGTAAATTAATATTGATTTATGTTTAATTTGAAACAGTTGATGAAAGATTTTGATTAATACGTATATTCGATTGAGGAATTCTATTGATATAATACTGAAGTAATCAGAAAACTGAACAGTCTGATACCATCTGCGTGTACAATTTGTATCTAGATCATTACGATTTGATACACAGATGTACATTGAGAGTTGATACACAATTTAATTGATTTCACAGTATTTATTATTATAGTATAATGACTGTACGGTTGCTGAACTGAATCTGTTGTAGCAAGATATATAGTGAAACTTCAGAAATCAGAAATAGAAAATTTCATGGATTGTATTTCTCAAACAAGCTTTATCTAAATTCCTTCACACAGGTTTAAGATTGATGCGTGTGATGTATGCCCGGGTGTATGAAATATCTCTATGTCGCTCATTGCCTCTGTCCCTAGTGAATTTGTGATTTAATAATTTTTTAATATGCTACAAGACAACCTCGTGTTTCTGTGTCATACTACTAGTATTAGAAGGTGGACCGGTATACCCACTAATGGTCTGGTAAACATCCACCATAACATCATAAATGTCCTCCGGTCGAAACGATGCTACAAAATGTACAAATGTAGACTCTGGATTTATAGTTCCTCGAGTTTCCTTGTTAAGGTATGCGAAATGTGCAGGAAATAGCGGATGCTCATATATGGTAACACCAAGAGCTTCAGCAATAGCGCCTACGTAGCCATCGTCTGGTGCCGTTATGGGAGTTCTGCAGAACATCGCGTTCACATCTCGGACAAACGTCAGCGATGAGAGAAACCCGCAACCGGAATGATATGCCGGGTAATAATCTTTCGGCCATTTGACTTGGGATATAATTCTATTTTTATGATTTTGATCATATATTATTGGACTCCCTCTAAGTGGAGCACCGAAATACAATCTCATATCAGTAGAGTTGTGGTTATAGAATTCATTTGCCCAACCTATCAGTTTCTGTGGGTTCAGCACTGTGTCTTGCGTGATTCTCATCATGTAGATTGCATTTGAGCAGTGCTCTTGTGTCCATCGGAATGATGCAATTGTCTTATCAGTTATGTTCAAATAAGTATCATCAAACCTGCCTTGGACGATGTCACCATACACTTCACTTTCAGTTGCAATTTTGGACATCCTCTGAAGATCTTTATTTTCTCCCATGATGAAGGCAAAACGTAGCGACCAGCCAAACAGTCTCCGGACACCTCCCCATGTTTCTCGAATCGCATACCTGAAGGACGCCGATCCTTCTGCAAATAAATGAGAATTTCCTTGCTAAGTAATGGAATATGAAAAAGGTCTGACGAATTAAAACAGAATGTCCCGGGGTAAAAGATAAGAAATGTAGACATCCCAAGAAGGTACAAACCCTAAAAAAAGAAAATGAATGATAAAGCATTTTTCTTTAACAGTGCTCAGTCAAACTAAAAAATTATTTGTGAGAATGTTATCTATGTACTTCATTTCTTTGTTCGATTTTGTATATAACTTGAACTAGAGTGGTTTGCTCCAATGATCATTATATGCACCTTTTCGATTATATTTTATTTTCAATAAGCTCTATATTTGATTAGATATCTCAATATTTCTTTTCGCAAAACATTGTCATTATTTTTAAAAGATTAAAGTGTAACGTTTGTTCATTAGAATTTGAGAAAATAAGCATACCTGACGTGTCACTTAATACCACGACAATCATCAATTTCTTATCATCGCCCTTCTCCAGCTTACATAGCCCATCTGCTGTATGGTAATAGTCGAAGTTATCAATATATGTGTTATTAAACTTCAAATCAAAAAATTCAACTGGAGTTTCTGAATCATATTTCCTTTGTACTCTTTCTGGCATTGGATTTGTGAAATGTTTACATTTTAGTGCTTCCTTGATTGGTAAATCATTCAATGATTTTGGTGGCCCTGTAGTTGGGGAAATTGTAGGTACTGGAGTTTGACCACTCAGGCCCACCCGTACTTTATGCTTGCTCGGAAGAATATCCATATTTACTGCACCTTGATCCGAAACGTCTAAAGTTTTGTCTTTGTAAGGATCATTGTTTATTTCCTTTTCTTTGATTTTCTCATTTTGAAGTAACGATTTCAAAAGATGTTGCTTTGTGTCTTGAAATTGAGGTTTATGAAGATTGTGCTTTACACCAGATTTCCTTTCTCGTGCTTTGAGTAACAATTTGAGCAATTGAAGTTCCGTGTCTTCAAGTTCAGTTTTAATTGGACGACCACCTCCAATGCTGGTATCATCCTCGTATTGACGGAGAACATGTTTTTTATAATGGCTCGTGTTATTTTGATTAACAAAAAGCATTACAACCACGAATAAAATCACTAAAAATGTGAGTTTCAACATATATTTGTTGTTCATCGTTTTTGTTTTTCCAAGCACTTACACTAACTATTTGAAATTAAAACTACTGAGTTGTACCACTTTTAATTGTATTGATATCATGTTTATTAATTTTTGATGATAAATTCCTGATTGCATAATGATTGGACGCAATCTGTGCATTAAGCCTCGGGTCAACTAACAGTTAAATACTGTACCTTTTCATATTATACAGATTGATATCACATGGTATGCACATGTGAACTACAGGGTGACAAAAAACAACGGTATCCCCTCTACAGCAAAAAGGACTTAATATTACAAGGTAGGCCTGTAGCCAGGATTTCTCGAGTAGGGTTCTATTTTTGCTTTTCCATGGGCATTTGCACGCACGTGGCGCAACCTAAAAGATATGCCTGTCTTCATGGTCAAAAAATAGATTTAATCTCACAACGGAATAGCCTGACAACGGTAAAAAAGTCAGATACCGTTGTCAATGGCGGACATAACCGTCGCTTCAATCAGATTTTCATGAACTGTATGTTTAAATAGAGCACCTAGACTAAATTTGGAACAACAATCAATCAAAGTGTCGTCATACTCACTGTACAGTTAATATTGTTCGAAATAAAGTATTTGATTTAACCGATCAAAATGAGATACGGGACAACGGACACTGTAATAACCATATGCCGTTGTCTTTCTAAATTACTCAAATTTAGATTCCGTTGTCATTGACGATATCGAAGACGCTATATTGTAGCGATTCACGACCCAATTTTATCGAAATTGGGATTTCATATGAAACATCGATCATCACAAGAGCTTAATACATGCACAGAATGAATTAGCGACGATAAAATCCCATGAAATGAGGACCAAGTGATTAAAGGTCAAAGCGACGGTCATGTCTGCCATTTGTGACAACGGTATCTGACTTTACCGTTGTCAGGCTATTCCGGTGTGAATCTATAGCTGTCTGAAATTATTTGCGATAACCTACATGGACTTTTGTCTTAAGGTTAATTATTTAAATTGTCCCATTTCATTCTGACACTAATCTTATTTTATTTGAGATTTAATTATTTAAAACACAATTCAATGATATTGGTCATTTTATCACTTTCATTTGACACAAATCTTATTTATTTGAGATTTAAATTTGAAAAATACACTTCGAATTCATTATAAAAATATTGATTCTAAAAGATACCCCGATGCGTCATTGTGAATTCGCAACTTTTCAAAAAATTAAGAATCAAATTAAATGGCCAATTACCATGACGTGTCGCAAAAAGCTCGCGCACGCATTGTTACACATTTTGTGGCGTAATCCAGAGGATCCTCGCTTTTAACATGATAGAATGTGACGTTTTTGAGAAAAATGTACACACATGAAAATCCTTTCGTCCTCCACATTTACCTCTATATCTCAAAACATTTTAGACGAATAACTCTGATATCATATATATATTGTTAATGGGCTAGGAGCATCATAAAACACGAATCAATTGATGTTGTAATACTCTGATGAAATAATTTTACTTTTAGACATCCACCCTTGTAATAAATACGAACTAGACTATTACGCTACATTATATGCAAAACTGGTAGCAGAATATGGCCACCGTTTTTTTGAAAGCTGTATTTATAAAGAATACTGATGAGAGGCAACAGCAGGGCCTGTAGAGAGAAAATTCGAAATATTTTACTCTGAGCTATCAGGTCAACATTTGGCTTAACATCTTCTTTGACATACCTATTTTCTTAAAATGTATGGATAAACTATCAATTTCAGCATTAAGAAGTGTAAATTCAGTTCAAACCTTCTATAAAAGGGGTCCCACAAATAGATTTCCACCACGTTTCACAGCTGAAATGATGTTCATCCAGGTGGTTTCTTTATAGATAAGAAAAATATATGTTGGTCTAATATCCAAATTAAACTTAAATATATTTTGACACTGGTCGATGATCGTTGAATGGCCCCTCTGCACTAATTGTTGTACCTTAATTAAAACACAAGCTTTTGTATGTTGGGGGGGGGGGGGTGGGGGTGCTCCCCAAAGAAATTTTGAAAATGAGATTGCATTTGATGTTAGGAATGCTTAAAGTTTATCCAGTGAAACTTTAAGTTATTGAGAGTTGAAAAAGTAATCAGGAAAAAAGAAGTGTATGACTTGCTCCATCTCAGCTACTATGAACACTATAAATCTTATCAAATATAATAAGTGAAAATTCTTGGGAATTTTTAACCGGGGGTTCGTAGGAACTCCCCCTGTGGTTACAGGCATGCAATGTATGTCATATCTAACTTAAAAGACAATTCAATTCTGGAGTTTTCTAAGAAATTTCAGCTGGGTATCATATAATTTTGCAGATTTATGGCGAAATTGTTAATAGCTGGTTAAGGAACTTTAACAGCAGCTAACGGCTAATATATCAGTGGCGTAGCGTGGGTATTTTGTGAGTGTACGCCACGAGCGAGCGAAGGGGGGGGGTCTTCCCCAAGAAAATTTGAAAATGAGATTGCATTTGAAGCATTCTAGGGCGTTTTAATATACAAAATTCCGACTACCGTAATATGGACTAATAAAATGTAAAAATGCAATTCCTCAAACTGGTCTTTCACAATTGAACCCATGTGTTCGGTGCAACTGAGATTTGGGTAGCAAGGAGCAATCAAAGTACTAAAGAAGCAAACTTTGAAACAATGTAACATCTTAAAAATAAGGTTTCATTTAATGAAATTTCATAAGTAAATCCAGAATTAAATTATCTTTCAAATGAGATATCATATGCCATAACATTGGAGTTTTTGCTGTAGAGGGGGTGCCGTTGTTTTTTGACACCCTGTAGAACTACAAAATCTACTTCATACAGCAGGTTGTCCTTGAAGAACAGGTTGTCCTGAGAAATACTCTAAGTAATACAGGTATTGGCTTCCACTTTAAGCATTTTGGTGCGACGTTGTATTACGTGAAAATGATATTTGTTTATAAAAAGTGGTTTGATTAAATAATTCAAATTCAAATACGTCAGTCAGTTTGAATCATTCTTCCCTATAAACGTACAAAATGCTTAGAAGGGATTGTACGATTTTTGCAAGAAAATTCAGAAAATCTCTAAGATTTATTTGATTCATTAGGAATTTTCAAATAAAAACTAATTGAATAAGCCCACAGTATGTCAGGCCTTCCATGGGACCGTTTGTGATTTTTTAAACTGAGCACTTCGTTTTTAAGGTATGCCATGTAAATCTATACTCGTATATTTCATGTACTAGAAAAGCGCAACGTCACCAGTGCACAAACGTCAAACTTTTCGTAGCCGAGTTAGGTTTGCATATAACCTGTAATAAATACAAATCATGTAATAGATGACGTTATAATTTTACATGGCTACTCAATTCAAAATGGCCTCCATTTTCAGGAAAAATAGAATTCATGATACAGAAGCTTATGTTTGGATTTCTTCCAAATATTGAAAGGTTGATGCCTTATGTGTATAAGACCTCGACTCGAGAAAGAATTTTAAATATGGTGTCACGTTATGTAACGGGTAAAGATTTTTCCAAAAGACAATACCTGGTTATCTCTATCATAAAATGGTACTTGGCGTAGTTGCTTTTATCTAATTAATTTATGTTTCAGACCCTAGCGCCTAAGGTGGATAAAAAATGTACCGATATTTCACATAGTCTGATTGTTTGTATAACACGTTTTAAACATAATCTGAAATGGCCAAAAATATCATTTCAAATTAATTCTAAAAGCCCCATGCAAAGTTATACAGGGCGTCCACAAAAAAGTATACCCAACTTCAATGCCAGGTTACTAGAATTCTGAGCATTTTTTTAAAAATACGAAGGTAGCAGTAAAAGGCCTAGTTCGTCGTCCATCCAATGGTACCTAGATTATTCTGTAACTGTCATGGATGACTGAGCAATCATGACTTTTATGAAAGGTGGTAAAATCAGCACTGTGCCAAGTTAGCATTCAAGTACATGTAGCAATGACACAGTGAATGTTTTTTGTGTTCAAAACATTATTAATGTTCAAATTAACATCAAATTGGATCCGAAGAGTCTCTTGAACAGCAATGAAACTTCTACTTGCTGATATGCAGCTTTGAAGTCAATTGTATCCGAATGTAAAGTCAGTAACCCTTGCTGAAATCCTCATTTTCTCAGAGGAACTCGAGTTTATTGAGTCCAACAAGTAGATTAATGTGGGACAGTATTGCTAGAAACCATTTCAATAGTAAGAATAGTGGTTCTATAAATAGTACATGGGATTTGCCTTTTAGAACTTTTTGTTGGCTCTACTGCTCAGGTGTCAGTTGAACCATTTTTGCAGGCCTATTTTAGAGTAAGTTAAGCTTTTTGCCAAACCTTTTTTATAAGAGAGTTACTCAGTCCCAAGTCCAGTTCAGTATGGAAGGCCTGTCCTCTAACTTTATGTAACAGAAAAAGAATGCTAAGCCAATTACACATCAACAACCACACAGGAAGGTAACTTGGCACAGTGCTAATTTTACCACCTCTCATAATGGTCAAGATTACTCAGTCATACATGACAGTTACATTATGATCTTGGTACCATTTGATGGAGAATAAATCAGGCTTTTTACTACCACCTTTGTATTTTATAAAAACTGCTTAGGAGTCTAGTAATTTGGATTTGAAGTTGGGTATACTTTTTTTGTGGACGCCCTGTATAATACAAAATTATACACCATACAAAATTATTAACATAAAAATATGGACGTTTCTGGCACACCCTATGTTCACACTTTTATTTCATAAGAATATATCATAGGCTATACTGAATTGAGCAACTATACACATGGGCAAAAACTAGTTTCCACATTCATTTATCTATTATATTCCTATGCATATTATGCCTATCGTAATGTTCAAGAAGGTGTGTATGTCTCGACTTCTCCTGCGAGGTCATTTCTTCCTATATCTTTAAGTATCTTTATAAGTGCCTCCTTTTGGTTAGGAACCTCAGTTGCTTGCTGCCATGACTCTAGTATCTTGTATCCCCAATTCCCCGCATTATGTGGATCGCCTGCTTTTATATTTTCAATGTTGTCTCTTTGCCCAAGATGAACTGCAAGGGATTGCACTTTACTCCCTATCTTTTTCCCAATCTTCTCCAGCAATACGGGATCTAGAGCATCTGAAAATTCGTAACCTAGTTTTCATATGTAAGCGTAAGTCAGGTTTGCCTATTTTATTATTATTATCTATTACACTGAAAATAATGTGCTAAGGCCCGTACCTTGAGACATACGTATCTAAAGCTTTGTCGCCCAATCAGAGTGAATATTGACTTCTGAGGAGCATAGAATTCAACAATATTTTGATTATACATTCTTATACTCATATATGTAGCATCTTTCTGTTTCACGAAACTCAGGGCTGAGAAGAAATGAGATGTCATGATTTATCATGATGATGATTATACAACAATATGATATTTGGATAACATGCGTGCAATATAAATCAGCTGTAAAATACCACGTTGTAGCATCCAATCAATTAACTGTACATGTTATTAACCTATTATTCGTCCATCATCCAGACTAAGCCTGTATTCGCAAATGCAACTAACGCCTGTCGGCTACCGGATTAACTTGCTATTTTATGGGCAACTCATTTAAATTTGAATAGTACCTGCCACTAGTCCGTTCGTATGAAAATGAGTTGGTCATGAAATAGAAGGTTAATCCGGTAGCCGACATGCGTTAGTTGCATTCGCGAATACAAGCTTAGTGAGCCAGATACCTACCTGAATCCCCTCGGGAAACCCCTACCCGTTCTCTCATCCAGAGGTTTACTGCTATAGATACCATAACCAATACTAACCCAGCAATTACGATCCCTGCAATTAGTGGGAATTTATCTGGAATAGACAACTGATAATACAATACATAAACTTGTGTTCAAAATATGTGTAACTGTTGACAAATCCAAATGGCTTTCGTAAGCAGACAATAATGTTCAAGGAAATATATAAATAACGCTGTTCACTAAATTAACATATCGTGTTGTGATTTCAGTTCATGGATATATAATCGTCCCTTTATTGTTTTAACTCTAGTAATCATAGTAAATAGCCATGACAATGTTCAGTCATTGATGAAATCAACAAGACAAAGAATCGAATAAATGTACGTCTACCATTTCTAGTCTCATCCAACGAGAAGGGTATACCATACCGGTTGTCTGGTTGAGCAAGGATGTATTGATTTACATGGAGGATATGATGATATCCCCATATTAAGTCAATAGTGTATATCCCCATGTTAAGTCAATACATCCTTTCTCATATCATTATTTTCTAAGTGATAGCCCACGTTGTCGGATAAACGAAACATAGTCCAGTGTAGAGATTATATGTAATACCACTATGCAGTAGTTGGTTTTTGTGGCGGTCACCCGGACAACCAACTCCTTATCTAAGGTTCTTAGAAAAATCAACTCCCTAACTATTGTTTCTTGATTAGCAGTTTTCTCCCACCTTTACTTACTTCCTTCAATGTGACTTCTTTTAGCTCCCGTCATACCTTCGTCAGAAAACGTTTCACTGAAATTTTAAATCTTCTGTTTTGAAAAATGAATTTTCTGGCATTATCCATATGACATTTAAAAAAAATTCCATCCGACCCCTTTTGGAATGTGATAGCAAGATTTAAAGAATATTATGAACAAATAATTTATATAATATCTTAGACCTTTGGCAATCCAGAACTTGTTGTGCAAGATCCACTCTTTCAATTTTTCTAAGTGCCTCTGCAAGCAACTGCTGGATGTCTTCATGCTTATCTCGCCTTTGTTTCCACTTATTCAAAACCTGAAATCCCCAATTCCCAGTAACATGTTGCTGTTTAATGTTTTCAATATCTGCATTACTTAGTCCTAACTGAATAGCAAGTGATTGTATGTCGTCCCCTATCTGTCTACCAATGTTCATCAGGCATACGTTGTCCAAATCAGCTGAAAATGAAAGCACCACGAAGGTTATTCAAATAACTGAATCCGTTGTGGCTATTTATTTATATAATTTGTGGTGAATATATTCCTCTTGTTGTTCACACAGTTTACGCGTTTGTATCCCTTGGCTAGAAATCAAAGCATTGGTATCCTATGTTTCTAGTTCTATTCCGGATTTTTCAAAATACTTAGAACTTGTGAACGATGTACAATTTACAAGGTTACTAAACGAATAAGCATTTACATATGGAATACGGGCATATCAAAGAGGTAACCACCGTGGTTACAAAACTCACCTCTAGTTGTTACCAAACAAAATGCCAGGAGACATTGTATTTTTGCCAAACTCACCATCATCGTTCAGCCACTATGTGCTTTGAAAATAAGGGCACATCACCCAACACACACTGGAATATTTGTGTAAAAAAAGAAATAACATTAATTTTGGCTATTTTTCACTTACTTTGTAATTGAAACAATACAGTTGATAATTGAAAATAGATGGATATGATGTTCAGGTTATTTCAAGAAATAGTTTTTGCAAATAGTATATTTTCAATGCAGATGCCACTTGTCCCATATATTCAATGTTGGAACTCGACCTCTATATAGATATTTTCATAGATCAATAAAATCAATAAAATAAAGTTGTAGAGGAAAGTTGATTAGATCAATGCCTGTCATATAAACTAACTGTAAGTCAATATCGTGGACTCTTGAAACTGTTTAGGAAAAAAGATCCGTTTCGGAAACAAAATAGCACAGCTTGGGATGAACGATTTTTCTTTTCCCATGATATAAGGAGTTGTAGACAGAATATTCACGACCTCTTCGGCACAAACGTGTGTCAGCATTATGTTTCAGTAAATCTGAATTAATTACGTTTGCGCAACAAAGTTAGGAATTGCATCCATTTTTGTGGCGTCCTGTGAACTATTTGTTTGAAAACACTTACGCTTAAACATATCATGCTGACACACGTTTTTTGCGAAAATGGTCGTGAATATTCTGCCAACATCTCGTGAAACAGGCCAAGTAAAATCATGGAACAAGATTCCCTAAACGGATCCGTCTTTGAAGAATTCCACTTCAGCGTAGGTGCGAATCATAGCTTCTACATGATGTAAAGGTACCATTGGACAAGTTGATAAACAACATCCTTTAAACTGTTGAATTTGCAAACTAAAAATGTGTTTTGAGCAGAAAATGACTTGAATTTATTAAACAAAGTATTTTATCAATATCTTAATCTTCAAGGTCACACCTGATTCAACACTGATTCAGTTTTGTCACAACAAATATATTACAATAGAAACTATTAGAGCTACAATAACTATTACAAATGAGGCTCACCTAACATTATTTTATGTGTCAAACGCAATATGTCTGCTGGCTCCAAAACTGATCTGATTTTAAATTAATATTCCTTGCAATTGTCGACAAAATACTCGCTCAAAACGAATGTAATTCTTGTAACAATATGTTCAATGTTCACAAACGCTCGACCCTGTGTCAAGTATAATTTTTAGAACTGGTTTCAAAACGAAACTAGATTCATGTTATCAATAATGTCATAAAAGATCAGTAGTTGTACTTTGAACTGTTTGTTACGTGGAATATGCCGTACAACTTAACAATACTGTACAGCTACCCACCGGTGCATGTTATTCAACTGTATTAGCAGGTGAATTACGGAGTAGTACTAGATATAGTATTTGAATATACTCGTTTGCAAAATAGAGTTTTAAAAGTTGAAAACGTTTAAAAAACTAGTTACAGAATAAATGACGTCCTCGGAGGTACTAAATACCAAATCCATAGGAAGATACCGTGTGACAATGTAATTGTTTGTGATTTTGCTATATTATTGATTTGAGTATATAATTTGTTATTTTTGTAATTTAAACTAAATAAATTAGTTAATTGACACAAATAATTATAAATAATTTCAACACTATAATCTATTTTAATTTACCTCTTGGTGATGAAAAGGTTTATAAGCGAACCCGTTCGATGGGATTTGCTACGCCTTGGCGTTGCTGTTGTCTAACTCATCTCAATATATTTTTGAACATTCATTATTTTATTTATTGCACTAGCTTTTTTATTGTGACTATTTTCAAAACTTTTGAATTATGGCATTGATCTTATAACGAATAACATTAGTTCGTTATGTATTATTTTATTCCAATTTCGGTTGTATAAGATAATGCGATAATGTCTAGAGATGGGGTGGTGCATAATAAAATATCTTGACACATAACCTGATATATATACAGGCATCGAGTCGTATAATTTGTGTCCAAATGGTGAGTCGTTTGGGGAACCTCGGAGACATATATACCTGTAGTCTAGTATCTGATTATCGCCGGTCAGTACGTGACACAGGTACACAGGTAGAAAATGTCTTGAGACAATTGCAAAAGTGATTCGTACATCTCTGTTTAAAATTTTAAATATATGGACTATTAAAAAAGTTTTTGGAACACCTTAATTCACATTTTAATTTCATAAAAATAAATAAAAATATACAGAATTGAGCAATTATACATATGAACATGCTCATACTTTCGAATTACATATTTCTATATATTTGTCCCAAGTATAATGTTTTTCAATCATATCAACGTCCTAAGTCAGGTGAAGGTATTAGTTAAACGATGCCATCATTCAAGAAGGTGTGTATGCCTCGATATCTCTCGCGAGGTCATTTCTTCCTATATCTTTAATTATACCACTCTAAGTCCAATTACAGTTGTATAACATGGGTCTATAACAACGATATACAGTGGAGAGTGGTATATCGTCATCGTATACAACTCCTCCGTATACACTCCAGCGTATACCACTGTAGAAGTGCATTCTGGGAACTAATGAATAAAAAATCATGAAAATTTTCATGATTTCCTAGAATCAAGTGACGTCATAAATGGTTCCGGCATGATTTGCTAGAATCAAGCCACGTCATAATGGTTCGAGATCAACATCAGCATTATTGAGTTGGCTATGGGATATTTTTACGGTTTTTAATTGTTATTATTGTGTTCGAATCAACTGTAATTGAACTTAGAGTGGCATAATAAGATTATATAATGGTTCATTCTGTATATCGTGCATTTTATACTCTCGTGAGAATATAATATATTCACTCGTTCGCCACGCTCACTTGTGAATATATCATATACTCACTCGAGTATAAACACGATATACAGAAAGAACCATTATATAACCTCATAGTATCTTTTTAAGTGCCTTCTTTTGGTTAGGAACCTCCGTTGCTTGCTGCCATGACTTTAGTATCTTGTATCCCCAATTCCCCGCATTATGTGGATCGCCTGCTTTTATGTCCTCGAAATTGCTGCTTTGCCCGAGATGAACTGCAAGGGACTGCACATTGCTTCCTATCTTTTTCCCAATCCTCTCCAATAAAACAAGATCTAGAGGATCTGAAAATTCAATACGTAGAATTCATCATTATGATTGAAAATTGCCTATTTTTGTTTCTAAAACATGTGCAATGTAAAGATCTGGACCTTTACCAATCTGCAATTCTAAACCCCCTCCTCATTATTAATTATGTGCCTTTTCAATTTTGGAACGCCGAATGCCGACCGCCGTCCACAAAAAGTTGGAGACAACAACAATATGTAACCCTTGTGGTGGTGACATAATGAAGTACTGTTATGAACTAAAAATGACCAATTTGGTTCAGTCAAATCATTTCAATATATTAGGACCTAAATATATGCTCCTCAAAAAAAGTTAAGGACCTCATAGGTTTACATGTTAATCCCCATATTTGTTTAACGACTGTTTTCTAAGCGGGGAACAAAGGAAATCCCAATAAAGAAAATAAATCTGTATCTTGATTCTATTCACTATAAAGTCCGCAACGTTTCAATGTATATCTACATGACATTGGGTCAAAATTTGATGTCAAAATTGATGAATTTCATGAAATTTAACAAAAATGGCAGATCCCATGTTAAACAAATGGGGAATGGTTGGGTTGCCATAAGTCATATGAGGAACGATCCATCCATCCGATTGCTCTCAACATTGAGATTGTAAGAGATAATTAAATTTGCTAAATTGTCTACTCGACAAAAATATGATTTAATTGTCCAGGCTGTACAAAAGTTAATGGTTTCAAATTCAATAATTTTTAATGAACCTCTTATTGAAATAACACAGGTGGTTCAGTGAGGTGGTCAAAATTATTTTAACGCTCCGTATCGCTGATTTTAACAACATAAGCGAGACATTTAGCATGTAAAATGTAAAATCATTCAATTTTCTACTTAGAAAGTATTTTTCATAAATGTTTTGCTGAATAGATATTCCAAAATCTGAGTTGCCCCTAAGCCACCATTCCCCATTTGTTTAACATGGGATCTGCCATTTTTGTTACATTTCATGAAATTTATCAATTTTGACATCAAATGTTGACCCAATGTAATGGAGATATAACATTGAAACGTTGCGGACTTTATAGTGAATAGAATCAAGATACCGATTTATTTACTTTATTGGGATTTCTTTTGTTCCCCGCTTAGAAAACAGTCGTTAAACAAATATGGGGATAAACATGGTAAACCTATGAGGTCCTTAACTTTTTTTGAGGAGTATATGTTAAACCTTACCATCGCCATTTATTCTTCCATTTACTGGACTTCCCTCTCGTGTAGTTCCGCCGTCACCGTTGCCAAATGAGACAACGTCTGCAATTTAGACAAAAGTTATAAATATTTGGACATGACTTGCTCCTTACCACTCCGATTCATGTCTTTATTTCACATGCATATCTCTGCATTGAGAAGCATGAATAAAACCAAAATATGAATAAATTCAACAAGGCACAGAGCATCTAACGACACTCATGATCAGTGAGATAGATAATACGTATACATACCTGATACCCTGACTCCTCCTCGCATCCCTACTGCTACAGATACAACGACCACTATTACCGCGACTATGATCCCAATTCGTGTAGTAGAAAACAGTTGATATTTATCTGAAATGGACATAATTCAAATTGGGACAACCAATACTAAAACACATAAACTAGAGTTCCTAATTGGAAATGTGTCGACAAATTACAATGTCTTTTCGGGAAAAATTCATGCTACAAGGTCGCAGTTGGAACACATATATCACACAAATATATTATCAATATAATCTTGTTCACTGAATTATCATATCGTGCTGTTATTTTGGTTCATACGAATATATTTGAATAAACCTTTATTGTTGTAACTTTTTAGTAACCAATGGTTATTAAAAAATACACGAGCCTGCAAATGCCCAATAATATTTAGCTCCAATAATTTCGACTAATGTCATCTCCATGACAATGACAATTGTCGCATGTTCAGCCATTGATACAACAAACAAGATAATTTGAATCGAATAAATGAACGTCATTTATTGTCATACTCAATGAGAATGGTATACTTTACCAGTTGTCTCTTGAAAAGCGGTTTTCTTCCAACGTTCCTTACTTCCTTCAGTGTGACTTGTCTTCTTGTCTTCAGTACTAAAATTTAAATTTTTTGTTTTGAAAAAAAGGGTTTCCGGTCATTTCCTACTGTATATTTCTGTATATCATTTTACCAAATGTTACTCGACTCTTTCTGGAGTTATAGCATAATTAAAGTAAGTTATTGACAGCTATGGACATATACATGTTTACCTTTTTCCAGCCTTCTTTTTAGGGTCAATAACTTGTGCGAGATCCTCTCGTCCTATCTCTCTAAGTGCACTTGCAAGCAACTCCGGGTTATCATCATGTTCGCCTCGTTGTTGTTTCCACTTATTCAAAACCTGAAATCCCAAATTCCCAGTAACATGTTGCTGTTTAATGTTTTCAATATCTGCATTACTTAGTCCTAGCTCAATAGCAAGTGATTCTATGTCGTCCCCTATCTTTCTACCAATTTTCAACAGGCATTTGTTGTCTAGATCAGCTGAAAATCAAAGGACCACGAAGGTTATTCAAATAAGTGAATCCTTTTTAATTAATAATTTATTTCCATATATAACAAACATATAACATACACATGTCTGCGGCTTTGCAGAACTGCATTATAAGCCACAAGTAAATACGTTTGTACGAAGAAAGTTGGCAATAGTTTGTTACCCCGGGTTTGCTACAAGCAAAAGAATGATATTTATACAAGATAATAGATAAAATGGTGGAAGAAAACCCTACACACTTGCACACCTTTCAATAAAAACTGAAGTGAGATTTAAAATTTTGATATTAGCATCTGCAAGCTACTGTCTCTAGACAAAAATAATGAAAAGTCTCGCTGGCTTTTTTTGAATCCGTTCGAATCCGTTGTGACTCTTTATTTATTTAATCTATGGCTGATATAATGTAATTCCTATGTTTCTGTTACATTCTTATATGTGACTCCCTCTTGTACATGTAGATTACACCTTGAAAGCCCATGCTTACAGACTTAAATCTCAAAGAATCTCCCTCGAAATTAGATTAATTAATGTGGGTCAGGGGTATCACAAATATAAAACCAACACACCATAAACACAGACATAACCTGAATACCCATGAATTTGAACTAGAAACGTGATTTGAACCGATACTTACTAAAATTGAATATCAATATTTTAAATCACATCATTTTGAGATATCATTTTCATCTACGAGGCGATGAAATGATATCAGGAGAAATGATATGATATTGGGTTTATCCCATGATTACAATAATTTCGTTAAAATTCCCCACTTCTTCGTTAGAATTTGTATAGGCCGTTTTGTTTTTATCTTCTGCCACTGCGCAGTAATTCGCAATACTTTCTCTACATGATATAGTTCGTCATAAATACCGTTATTAAGCAACATTCTATTCAAACTACATAACTTACATAATCGTTATGTATCACATCAATGTAATTTCAACAGAATAAATTATCTGACTTATTTTTCAAAAATATTGTGGCGGGAAATTCAATTGTGATATCAGACGGATATGTTTCTGATATAAACGATATTCCACCCGCTATGGCTCAGTGGCAGAGTCAAGGATACCAATATCGCTTGGCCCCGAGTTCGATTCCCTATTCAGACAAGTTTGTTTGTGCGTTATGTAATTCTGGGTGTTTGACTAAGTGGTCCACGACTCGTATAAAAGGCTGTGGTGTGTACTTGTATGTCTATGTACCCGTGCACACAAAAGAACACAGGGGTCCACCTAGGAGGGGTTTCTGGCTCTGTCTTCGAGTGTAAAATACGAAATATAACAATGAGATATTGCTCGCCAAATATGGCGGCAACCAAAGTATTACAATCACAAGCATATGAGTTTGATAGACGATTTTCTGGAAAATATCACACGGATTTCAATAATATCAGAAATATCAATAGCTGTTATTGTACATAATAATTATTGTACATATAACACATTAATCATGGGATAAACTCATATATCACTCTTTAACTGAGAAACTCCTTGTATAAACAACTATTTCGCTTGATCATAACAGATATAATGCAATATAAATAAGAAACTATCAAAGCAAATGAAACTCACCGTGCGGCATTATTTGGATGTGTCACACGCAGTATGTCTGCTGGCTCCAACTCTGACTTTTATTTACTATTTCTTGCCGACGAAAGACGCTCGAAAGTAATGTTGATCTTGTAATACTATGTTCAATATTCACAATGGTATAATGTATGATTTTTAAGATTTGAATTCAAAACGAAACTAAATGATTCATGTTATCAAGTACATGTAGATTTATAAGTGTGTTGGCAAAAATGAAAGATCAATATTTCATTTAGGAATTATTTAAACTGTTCGCCGTATTGCAGACTTACCTCTCAGTCTCAACTTTTTATTACTTATGAATATACTCGTTTCACTAAGCTTCGGAAAAAATGATGGCATTGTCCTTCCGTAATGGACATACCAAATTCATAGGAAGACACTGTATAGTGCGTGCTCAACGATGGAATTGGTTGTGATTTTGTCATATTACATAGCACATTATTGTTATTGTGGACAAAAATTGACAAAAATAATTATGATTTCAAAATTATAATTATGACGTGCACGGACCTGGGGACAATTCGGGAAATACGGACTGATTTCAGCTTTGAGCGTTAATCTCTGCCTTATTTAAAAAGCTAGCTATGTGTTTTATATATCATTTTGAAATATTTTTTATTCGCATTTCAGTGAAATTATTTTTTCTTCAAAATTTTGATGGGATCCAACATATTTTTAAAGTTAAACATATCCCGACATCGTCAAATACGCTGTAAGACGTAACACTTTACACTTACAGGGCTCGTTGAAATTGGGATAACTTTTGAAATAATGATCAAAATCCCACTAAAATTTCACAATTTATTCAATGGAACATGTTCATTTATGACGTCACAATTGCTTAACGGCTACAGTTCAAATTGTCTCATATGAACGCTTTTAAGATTTTCAAAATTGTGTAAGGTTTTGTAAGCGAATGGGACGAGCAATAAGTTTACCTTCATTTAACTTTCTAATTCAAGTCTGATTTGAAAGAAAAATTAACTGCACAATATTGTCATGGCGAAATTTACAAAACAATAACCAGTTTGTTTATTTTGCAAATAATATTAAAATAAGAGCTGGTTTTCGAGACTTGAAAAAATGTGACGCATCGATTTTTTACCACAAATTCCATACACATCAATTTTTACCATCGCCCCAAGTGGATTTCTTGACCGTTTTTCAAAATTCAAAAACATTTTACAAATATTGTCTTCGAGATCTTGCTACCCTGTGAATTTCGTCATGATTAGATAAGGATAAAGTATTTTATTTTTAGGTTGACTAAACTTGACAAAAATGTGACGCTTGTCTTTTTTTACGTTGTAAGGCTGTTTGCGCCCTATGCTGCTCATTGTTTTGTCTTGGTTTTTTGACGCCATAATGTTACGCTAATTGTTTCGTGCGACGTGTAAATATATTTCTTTCAATTTACCCCTTGGTGATAAGAGTTAACTTTGTAATTTTTGTAATCAATGGACATACATAAAATTAAAAAGGTCAGAGTGTTAAAGCTGATGAACTCACTTTTCAAATGGTGTATATTTGAACAAATTGCGTCATTTATTTTACTTAATAGATGAACCTTGAACCTTCCATTCGCTCAGCTTTTGAATTTCATTACTTATAGGACGTTATGTTGTTTTTCTCCATTCTTTACATTTAATCTACAATTAAGTGGAGAAATTTTTCATTTGATAGCCCTGTTTGAGACTGGGAACTTGATACTATTGATTCTAAAATATGTTATGAGCATATGAATGATAACCTTACTAACTGAGAAACTGAAACGCACAATTTTTAGATATTTCGATTCGTAAATACATGAAGCTACACAAAAGAGATACACCAAGAGTACATACTCTATAACTATTCTATGCTTAATTATTCTACCAAACGAAGTTCGAGAGGGATATAGAAAAGCCGTCCGTCCTTGTCCGTCTAAAAAAAATTTAACTATAAAAATAGAAAACAAATTAAAAATGTTATCTATAAAAATACACCGTACACGAAGCGTCCATTGACTTGTAAATAGAGTTCAGGGACCTAGTTATGTCTTATTAATTAAATCCATGTCGGTAAGGGGAGTGCTTCCATGGACTACAACGTTAAACCCACCAATGCCCAGTCACAAGGCTGAGGAACCTGGTTTTATATATAATGTGGATTTTTAACTTACCAATCATGACTTACATATTAATACAAGTATGGGTATTTCTTATAATTAATAGAATACTGGATTTTAAACTAACCAAACATCACTATAGTATTAATAGGGGTTAAAAGTAAAACCTATAATTAATCAAATTCTGGATATGACAATTAAATAATTAATCAAATTATAATCTACCTACATGAAGTAGATATCCAAATCTTAGTCTGAATTTATCTATGTGTAAAGATTGTATCCTTCTGTTGCTTTTTAATAAAACATGTGGGACAGTTTATTTATTTATATATTACAAAATGTCAGTCCTTTCAACTCAAATACCGATTGAACGATTTGTACAGGAAGATATCCTATGAGAAATGTACCTCTGCCCGAGAAGGAATTTTCAATATATGGCCGTTCAATTCCAAATGGCCTTAATCTTTAATATCTCAAATACTAGTTGACGGATTTGGTTCAAATTTTATATGCTGGTGCCTAGTGACGCAGGAGGTTTGCTCAAGAAGAGATTTTCAAGATGGCCATTGAATTTTAAAATATCCACAATTTTTCTTTGATAACACAAATACCAGTGAACGGATTCGGTTCGATATGCTGATGCCCAAGGACACAGTAGCTCTGGTTGTGAGAGGATTTTAAAAATGGCGACTGAATTTCAAAATGGCCCTCATTTTTATAAAAGTGTAACGTTTGATAACTCAAATACCAGTGAACGGAATCGGTTCATATTTTACATGCTGATGCCTAGGGACACAGTAGATTTGCCCAAGAAAATATTTCCTTAAAGATGGCAGTTGAATTTCAAAATGGCCACCATTTTTAAAAAACAACATAATCGTTGAGGACTCAAATACAAGTGGATGGATTTGGTTTGCATGTTATATGCTGATGAATGCTGTGTTAAAGAAGTTTCCAAGATGGCCACTTATCATCAAAATATATTTTGTTCAGTGACTTGGGATCTGCTACTCTATAGAGTTGCTGTTTTTCTAGTTCGTTTTTATTGATGTAAATACAATCTTATCACAACATTTATCTTTATTTCACACCTGCATAACGTAACAATATGCAAGTTCCCTGGATGTTGATAAGACTTTTAATAATATAAGTGTAAAAAGTGACGCATGTTTATTTGAGCATTTTTACGATAGTGCGTCGAATTTGTTGATATTAGTGATATGAACGTTATTATTTTCAATAACAGCACAACGGGTAATCACCACCAGTTGTTTTGATGCTGTTTGGTTTTTCTTAAAACAGCTTTTAAAACATTGGTATCAAGTTATTGTTTTTGAGATAGGGACAGGTCGTTCAGAATATTCTGCGGCAAATATTTTCAAAAAACAGTGTTGAATTATACATTTTAGATTATGATTATTCAACACATAATTCTGAGAAGACATGAATTTCTATTTTTAAATCTCAAACAACATTCAAAATAACTAACATAATTTCCCATGATCTTCCTAAACCAGCAAGAGGACACCAAGAGAACAATGATGCCGTTAGATAGAAAATAATGTGTTTCCTATAAAATTCGACCAAGAATGAATTATTGCCATATTCGTAATTTATATAAAATTCAGCTTCGATATACTAGTTACAGCAAAAAGGCCCGTTTGCTCAATGCCCACGTATAATATTTTCATTTTTCTGACTCCCATGACTTTGAGCTCCCTTGGATTGATAATGCTATAGAATCTTATTTTCCCATTTGTCAAACTGTCTTGGTGAAACTGTTTATTGATTCAAGTGGTATATTTATTGAACAGAGGATCTAGTTAGAAATCCAAGCATTAATTGAATCATGGGCGTTTGTAAGTATATTCTTGCGTTCGTGGTGCTTCTATGCTTAGCTCCATGCATACATGTATATGTATATGCAGGGGGACAAAGAAAAAGACCACAGGTAGGAAATGGAAATCGAGGGGAAACCAAAATGAAAGAACCACAGGTGAGAACATTAATTAGCCTACATATATAAGATATACAATTTTTTAAAAAAATAACTAGGGGTAGATTTGTAGCAAAACTTCTAATATGGCTTTAGAAAAAGTGGTTTAGTGGTTTAGGACCTCTGCTTCAGAAGACCACAGGTAGGAAATGGAAATCGAGGGGAAACCAAAATGAAAGAACCACAGGTGAGAACATTAATTAGCCTACATATATAAGATATACAATTTTTTTTTAAATAACTAGGGGTAGATTTGTAGCAAAACTTCTAATATGGCTTTAGAAAAAGTGGTTTAGTGGTTTAGGACCTCTGCTTCAGAAGGAATTTCCAATATGGCCGCTCATTTGAAAGTGACGGCTATTCGTCGTAAAAAATATAATTTCAAATATAATTCAAATACCAGTTTACGGATTAAACTCACCAATACTGTATATACAGTATATACTTTATATCAATTAAGCTCATATAAAATCATTTTCAGGTTACAGAGGTAAGAGAGAATGTGGTTATCTGAGGAACCGAATCATATTTGAGAACACGCTTCAAGTAGCGGTCACACTAGCCGTGTAGGCTCACCGTTCGCCACCGTTTGGCTAATTATGGCCAGACGGCGACGGCCGCATTGTTTTTATACATTTTTGACCGGGACTATACCGTTCTATTCCGGGTCTGTACCGGCTTCTCATCGGCCTTGTACCGGACTTACCGTGTTTCAGAATTCTTGCTTACCGTTCTCGCCGTGTTCTCAACTGGTGCATACCATCCCCTCACCAGGTTTTCACCGGCCGGAACGCCTGGATATCGGCCGAACCGCCTTGATGGCGTCATGCAAACGCTCACAATATTTAACTCACTTTTTGGTATGTATGCTCAACCATCCACGTGTTCAAAGCTAAATGATTTATGTAATTAATTTGCTTATACATCTTAATTATGTTCAATAACATTACAAGTTTGTCTATATTTAACTGTACAGTGTGGCCACATAGCTTGTCCATCCTGTAAGCAGCTAGTTGGGTCAACCGAGTTAAGTCTTTCTCTGTAATAGTTAGTATGTTTATTCCATGAAAATACGTTGAAAATAAAGCTTTCACAACTTTTTGATGGACGGTAACGTGAACAGAAAGATCACGTAAAATGCATAAAACAGTTGATAGTTCGAAGTTTGGCTTATAATGCTAACTGGACATTTATTTTCACTTTTATTTGAGCTTTAATCATTTTTGCAATTTATTTATTTTCTTCGTGTATGATAAAAGAAATATATTTGTAACTTGTTTTTCTCAGTGTCTTCAAAAGAATCTCTGTCAAAGTGGTTTGAGTGGATTTGTGGCTTCAAAGTACAAATGAGAAAGTCGAAGAATTGATCTGATGTCTCGAGTTACGGGACAAAACCTTGGACAATACCTGAATATTTAAATAAACTGAAGGCAAAACTGTTGAAACGGCAGAACACGGTGACAACACTGCGTCACGAGGCGGTACAATTGCGAGTTCACGGTAATAGGATGTTTAGAGGATGTTATGGAGCAGTTATAAGGCCGTTAACACGTTAATGGACTGTTACCTAAGCGTTAAGCGGCTGGTACCGTGAAAACCCTTTTTATGTGACCTTTCAAACCCCCGTTTGAACCTCGTTTATCGGACGGTACCCAAGCGGTACACTCTCGTTCGCAGCCCGTCACTGATAGAGTCAACGTCCACCATCGTCCCATTACCGCTCTGCGAACGTGTCCTTAACGGCTGCACCGTCCTTATACCATTCCCGTACCGCTATCACCGTTCGCAACCGAACGTTACTCAAACGGGAAAAGTTTTGAGCATGCTCAAAAAATTCGCCGGGTGTGGATGGACGGCAACGTTCCCTGAACGTTTCTCAACGGGCGGGAAACGACCCACCGTGTGGCCATACCGTGCACCGCCGTCTGGCCATAATTAGCCACACGGTGGCGAACGGTGAGCCTACACGGCTAGTGTGACCGCTACTTCAAGAACTTCAAAGGAGAGCCACTGGTGAATTAATTTACAACATAGAAATGGCTAAAAACCACAAGAAAGGCAAACGGGATGTCTGGCCAGCGGTGGTAAGTTCATTCCGATTAGCATCCCGTATAAAAACAATATGGCGGCTCCAGGCGAATCAACTGGATCAGTCCATTTTTAAGAAATAAGGGGAGTTCTGTAAAATCCAGTTTATTGAAATTGTCTTTGAGATAAAGTAATCCGTTTATAATGATTTTGAAAACGTTATCCAAAGAGTGATTGCGTTCAAAGAATACATGTACAACAGCCAATATAAATCCTTGTATTAGAAACCGGTTTGTCTTGCTTTGTTTCATTTGTAGGATATTTCATATGCCAAGCTGTGTGCTATTACGTTATGGGGAAATTTAGATGCCAATTTTTCCTTATTATACACAAATAGAAGATCCTGAAACTTCACCCATAAATGTGGAATTGATTTGTCAAAATAAAAATCACCCTTTTGTGTGACGATCTATAATATACTTATGCTATATAACAGTTAGAGGTGTTGACACAACGACCTCGAGCCTGTGAACCCTTGAGTATTATTCCGGGATCGGGCCTTTTATACTAAACGGTGAGCAACACCAGAAACGAGCGTTCGATTTGCTAAACGATATGCGTCACCCTTTAAAAACATACCTGTAATCATTGGAAGGAATTACTTATTGCGCAGCACTAGACAACCATACATGTTATATTCTTACGTATAGACTCAGGTATAGACGACGATATATTGTTGTCATTCATTAAAATAATTCAATTCGTATCCTTCACACAATGAATACTTAATGTTTGTTTCATTTTAACAGCTAAAAAACAAACACGTGCCAGCTGGATTTTTTGAAAACCGGTGTAAAAGGGTAGGTAGTTCTTTCACATGCTGGTCCTACTCTCTATTGATTTATATGGTGACCTAATTACAATTATTTTCCTTATTATTTATACACAGCCAGGGCTTGCAAGGGCCGTAAGGAAAGGGGACCATAATCCCCAGGGGATCATAATTTCTTTTACACCGGAAAAATGGCAAAGGAAGCGGTGGAAAAAGGGGAAGAAGAAACATTTATACGAATATTGACAATCTGTGGACAAAGGTTAATGGATACGCATATGATCCATGTAAACGGGGAGACTCAACACTAGAGCACGTGCCCTTCTAGTATAATGATAACAATATTTGTTATACGCTGCTTGTGAATTGAACAAAACGTATCGTGTTATTTCTATTCACAGGTTGAGTCTGAAACTGCCCTTTCTAGGTGATGTTCATACTGAATACAATCTACCTCATGAATCTTGGTCAAACTTCACATTATTCAAGGAAGGATCACGAGGACTCTTGTTTACGATGCATTGACTACACCCCAACTGTTCATACTGAATACAATCTACCTCATTAATCTGGGCAAACTTTACATTATTCAAAGAAGGAAGTAGGAATGTACACGAGAACTCATGTATACGATTCATTGACTGCACCCCAACTGTTCATACTGAATACAATCTACCTCATGAATCTTGGGAAAACTTCACATTATTCAAGGAAGGATCACGAGGACTCTTGTATACGATGCATTGACTACACCCCAACTGTTCATACTGAATACAATCTACCTCATTAATCTGGGCAAACTTTACATTATTCAAAGAAGGAAGTAGGTATGTACACGAGAACTCATGTATACGATTCATTGACTGCACCCCAACTGTTCATACTGAATACAATCTACCTCATGAATCTTGGGAAAACTTCACATTATTCAAGGAAGGATCACGAGGACTCTTGTATACGATTCATTGACTACACCCCAACTGTTCATACTGAATACAATCTACCTCATGAATCTTGGACAAACTTTACATTATTTAAGGAAGAATCAAGGTATGTACACGAATACTTTTGTATGCGATTCATTGACTACACCCCAACTGTTCACACTGAATACAATCTACCTCATGCATCTTTGGCAAACTTTATGGTGTTATACCACTGACCCGAATGAATTATAGGATTGGTGCGACATTCCATTTTGTGGTAACTCAGCATTTATCTCATAATTCATTATCCTGGGCAACATGCAATATCCTAGATGCGAGTAGAAATAATCTTAATTTACGTCATTAAAAATTCACAATTCAGTCAAACTGATGTCATATTTGGAATCTACATTTTGAACATACATTTTGTTCGACAAATATATTAAAAAACGTGAGCTTCTGTTTCGTCTATTTTAAAAACTTAATAAGGTTCCACATAGCTAGTGCTCAGCGTTTTGTGATGTAAAGTATGAGTGATCTGGGCCCGGGATCTGGGTCAATGAGCCTGGTGTAAAGAAAAGTTAAACAACTGAAGAATTGACAATACTTCGTGCTTTAAACTGATACTAACTATTTATTTACTCGTAAACAGTGTCTGAATTATCATGAAGTTTGTCTATATGTTTCTTCTTGGATTCGGTGATGTGGTTTTGGGAAATGATGTTACATACCCTCCACTTTCAGGTACGTTAAAACTGATTAACTATTTTCTATAGTGTGTGAATACTGCTGGAAAATATCATAGTGGACTCGAGTAGAAAAATTCTTGATTTAAGTCGTTAAAATTCAAAATTAAGTCAAAGTGATACCATACTGTATTTCAAATCTACATGTAAAATTACAAGTGTTTATCAACGTTGAAAATCTTTCAACATTGGGAACTTTTGGGCATAAATACAGTGGTTTTTATTAACAAACAATATGTTTTCTCTCAAGTGAGGTCCCCATAATAGTAAAATTCCAATCCAACTCTCTGGAGAATTATGGATTGGGATTATGTCACTTTTTAAAATATGGCTTATTGTCTAAAAAGAGAATCTTGCATGCTTCAATTTACACACATCAAAGGTTTCTTCTACACTATATTGATAACTTCTGAAAAGGGGATTGACATGCGATATCGTTAAAAACCACGTAATAATCAGCATAATCTTCGAAACTATACTTCCACTACCAATCTACTTTCGAAGAATAATATTTGTTCTTTTCATGCAATAAAACTCAGAAAAAGATCGATCTTCTTTTGAGTAAATAGGTTCAACAATTTGAAAAAAAATGTTGACATGGGAATGGGTCCCTATTCATAATTTGTGGAATTGTTCGATTGATATAACATATTGTTTTAATAAAAAAAACACTGTATTTATGCCCAGATATTACTCATGGTGAAAGATATGACCGCCTAAAATCACTTGCCATACTGCACGTAGGCCTTTAATTTTCTTTAAAATCACAAAAAGTAAAATACCTTTTCTATTATTTGGCATACATAAGGGTAATATGAAAATGGAACAACTAAAACTGATGAATATTCAAGTTTAATGGAACTTTCTAATACCATATTATCTAACCTGTGGAGAAAATGATAACAACCTACTCGCAAAAAATTGTAATTGTCCGAGAGTTTATCCTATTTACATGATGCAATTGTATGCTTCAGAACTGGATACTAATAAGACGAACCTATCTATAGGATGCCTGCTACCATTAAATAACATCTTTGGAAGAAAATTAGAGGCCATTGCACAAATAGCAATTGATGAAATCAACAAGAGAAGTGACATACTCGAAAACTACAATTTAGTACTATATATTAAAAATACATCAGTGAGTTATTACATTCACCGTTAACTCGTTTCAGAGACCTTTATACAAAGATATGTAACTTAATTTTGACAATGGCGCATTAATTCCAATGCATCAGGTATATTTGACTTTAAAAGGTTTTTTTTAATAATAATAAATTTTAGGGTATATAAATGATAATTATTATGCAGGTTGAAAGTCACAATGCTTTAGGTTACGGATAAACTGTGGGTACTTGGCTTTAGGATAAATAATATTAGTTCTCTTAAGACCCAGTGTGAATGGTATTTTGTGTTCACTTTTCAACTATTGAGTGAATTAGGGTGTAATTAGTTCAGCTTCCGTGTACGTACTGCATGTGACAGGCCATGTTTATATATTGAGCATGGATGAAGCACGATTTGTAAGTAAGTTTAGGTCAATACTCTAGGAAGCAACACAAATAAATATTATTTTCTTTTAAAAAATGCAAAATAATTAAACAAGAGGACACGTACATTTTCATATTGTTTTTAAATGATGGAAACTATCGAAAACTGTCAATCGTTCGTTCTACCACACTGGTTTTGGATAGCTTGCCAAGTGTCCATTTTTAAAAAAACATTAGACAAAGAATACACCTTTCTTTGTTACAACTGTACATTCTTTCAAATAAACTATGGTTCATTCTCTTGTGTTGCGACCTAAGGGGGGTTTAATTCCTTCTAATGTTTGTCTTTTTAAATTCGACGTATCCGTAAACACAGAATCTTACAGAAATCTGTAATATAATTTACACACATTACCTTATACTTAATTACTGGATTATCGATAATTCATTGTCAAAAGCTATTGTAGGCTCCAGGGCCTCCCACGGGACCCAGCGCTGAGCGACTCGCTACTGTTAAAGCATTTGAGTTTATAGATGGAAATCCAATAGTCAATATGATCTATGGTAATTTATTCACCAAAAACACGGAGAAGTCTGCGTATCTCACAAGTACTTGGAATATCTTACAGGTGATGTTAAGATAATATGTATATATAAGCAGTTAAGGGTTAATCTCCTCTTGAGATTCATGCAAATCACAACAAAGTCATTTTAGGGCTGGATGGTAGATAGAGTCATAAATGTGAAATTGTGACAACCCATCCCCGGGACAACTCATCCCCTGGACCACTCATCCCCTGTACTCATCCCACCGTACTATATAGTGCATAATGATATTAAGGTCGTATTTAAGCGCCAACAAATTAAGACACTCATTTTCATTAAAAATGTTATGATAAAATGACAGATAGCTGGTACGCTGGCGTAATTTTTGTCTAGTTATTCTATCTTTCATTTCCTTTAGGTTGCTCCTTTGGCAAACTCATTGGTTCTTTCTGATAAAAAGAGGTAGTTTTTAATTGTTTTACACTCATAATAAATAAATAAATTCACACATAGCTATGCAAGGTGTGTCCGATTCGAGCCAATCCGAATAGAGTATTCACATAATGAACAGTGTGTGAAATATCAATAACACATGCAAGGTCACAAGTTAATCAGTTGTCATGGTGATGAATGAATTTTTCACATTGGATTTGATGACTTGCCAACTTGACCCTTGCAAAAAAATGTCATTGAAAATGTGTTCTTTTAGTAATTTAGTTCCTTTTAGATGATTTTATAGAAAAATTGCAATGTGTGAAAAGAATTTAAGACCTAGACTCAATGCATTGTAGCTGCTTCATTCCACCCAGGCGTTGTTTCATAAACTTTGCATTCCCGCTGCGTGGTCATGTGGTCATGCAAAGGTTTGGAAATGACACCTTCATGGTATGATTCAGCAAATAATGTACTGAGTCCAGGGCTTAAATCCTTTAGTATATACTATATATCAATATATATATTAATACAGTATATATTATACCCTTAATCAAAACAAAAATATTGGTCGACATGCCTCTTTTCATGGTATATCTTATTTATTTTATAGATATCCATACTTCATCAATGTAGTAACGAATAGCATTTTCCTAAATGATCTGGTTACCCATTTTATAACGAAAAATAAATGGGACAAAGTCGCAATCATCGCTGAAATTGGATTTGACCATGTAAGTTTAAAGACAGTTTCTTCAATACTTTTTTGATTGTGATTAAATCGTTTTATACGCAATACCTTATTTCTATTTTTACAGCACACCGTTACTATTTCACAATTGATGTATAAGTCCTTGGTATGACATTTCTGGGACGTCTATTAAAGGAGCTGGTTACGCATTATATCGCAGCGATATTTGACCTAATATTTCAATGTCTACATATGTCCCGTATTAATTTCATTATGTCCATTTAATATAGATCGGCTTTTTACTTTTCGGCTGAAAAGTTAGCCTGTCGTTAGCAGGGGTCAAAAATAACTGAAAGCTGAATCCCATTTTTCACAATTTGGAGTACATAATGCTACAAAAAATTATGTGAAATGGAATTTGAATACGATATATGTTTTATAGGTTTCTCAGCTATAGATTTGAGGTTATTTAATAAAAATACGGAAAAATATGTATTGTTTCTCAAATATTGGTGAGATATATAGTATAAATGATTCACTTTTATATTATAAAACAAATGCTAAAATTATTTTAGGTTTTCACAATATACGTTTTGAGATATTATAGAAATATCCTATGGTTTTGAAAAAATATCATTTATATCCATGAGTGGATATTGATATCTTTACGAGTGAGCGCAGCGAAAAGATTTCAAAAAAAGTTTTTGAAAAAAAAATTTGAAGGAAAACATTTTTGAAAAAAGATTTTGAAGGTTTCAAAAATTTTGAAAAAAAATTGAAGGAAAAAATCTAAAAAAAAATTTTAGAAAAAAATTTGACAAAAAATTATTGAAAAAATCTAAACCATCGAATATCACTTTTGAAACCATCGAATATCACTTTTTGAGAAGTGATATTCGATGGTTTGAGAAGTGATATTCGATGGTTTGGGGATTTTTTGCAAAATATGATATCTTGATCCACATATCAAATATATCTTCACCTGATATTCGATATATATCCTTGTAACCATTGGATAAAGAATGTTATCCCCATAGGTCAATTATCAATACGGGAGGACTTGTTGCTCATCCCTGACTAATTGTGGATACAGCTAAAATGATTTTGCCCGTAGCTAGGTATTGCTTATAAAACAACAACCAAGACCTGGTCGAATTCGTTATCTCTGAGAAAAACAGTTATCATTGTCTTTAAAATTGTTATGATAACCAGTAGTAATGCCAAAGATGAAATTATCATGAGAAATGTAATGATAGCCAGCAGTAACACCGAGGAAGAAATGTAAGGCGTTCCACTCCATATGCCTCTTATAGATTATTAGACAGGCCTTTGAATGTATGAACATTCCAATACCTGTGATATTTAATAATATATTTATCTTGCCTATTTGTCATTGTTTTATATTTTATGAAACATAAACAATTATTTGTTATTTGACCCGTGGCGATGACAGGGATAGATCCTGGTAATAAAAGGTTTTAAATAGTAAAAAGTAATAAGTTCGCAATTCTGAATTGCCTTAAGACCTCACATCATTTTGTTGACACTGACAATTACATTAAAATTGTAATTTTATACATAATAATATCCGATTTATTGTATAATGCTTAGAATCACGATTTGTGTCTTCTGAACCGCATAAAAATTGGGTGCAAATGTTTATGTTTTCTGACCCCTTGTTATGATAGACATGTTTTGACCCGAAAGCCTGAATTTTTCAAAGGATAATAACGGAATAATAATTTTAGCTGGGGAAGCATTTGGAAGATAAGCTGAAAAGAAACAATGTGACTGTATCCAACTTATACATAGTGGAGGACGAGGATGATCCAACTGACACAATTGCAGCAATTAAGGTTATTTATTAACAAGTTTTTCATTCGGTTTAATTTATCGAAAGAAGAGATTATTTTCAGTATCAGTATTACATGCAATATAATATTATTCTATAAAAATAGTATTAATTAGTACCAATCTAGCATATCTTCCTTTCAGGAGTCTGGTGTGCGTATTATTGTGTTCCAAGTCTATCCCATCATGTATTCCAAACTTGTATGTGAGGTAATTAAGATCTAACAGAGAGAATAAGAAGACACGGACGAGAAGATGCATGAAAACAATTAATAGTATATGACGCAGTGCTGTTTCCTGACAGCATGTTTGATTAACTCCTTGATTAAATAAAATGAAATCATTCACAGCCATGTGATGTCTTTTCTGAAACTATAAGGAAATGATACACAATATACTTAATCATTTGTACAATCAATGACATTTCAAGAGAAATTCATTGGTTTTTAGATCGATCCCTAGTTTTTTATGAATGTCATTATCAGAGAAATACATCTTGGGTGTCCAGGATTAATAATACATCTTGGGTGTCCAGGATTAAGTTGAGAAAGGCGATAGCGAGTTTCCATGTGAAAAGTAACAAAGTTATTAGTGCGACTGTAAATCTGCAAACTCAATTAAATATTAAAATTAAATTAAAAATCCCCTTCAATCTCAAATCAATGTTGGATGTGGTAAACCTTATCGTAGCTTATTCAATTATATATTTATTAGGTATATAGACACAGCATGTATGCTCCAAGATATGTATGGATAGATAATAGAAGACTAGTAAGTTTTTTTGTTTCTTCCCATACCTTAACTTTTGATGTTTGATACCTTAACTGAAAACGTGTAGTAACGTTTGTTTTGCTTGTGTTATATGCTTATCTATATAATTTATATAATTATTTGTTTGAGTCTGATGACGTGAAAGATTATTATAAATCATATGGTCATGGCAACTGCACATGGAATCAGATAGTGACCTCCGTGGAAGGAATGTTTGGGACAAGTACAATATCATATCTCAAAGATTTCCCGGACACAATAACCATAGGAGGCAATGTAAGTAGTAGTACGATATGTCACTCAATTCAGCCACCCATTTTCTGACATTGTTACTGCCGATTCTTTAAAATACAATATTTTGTTGCTTTTTATTATTATTTTGGCCCGTGAGTGTCTTTCATTTTATAATGTATTATATTTGAAAGTGTTGCAAGAATGAAAGGGACTCGAATTTTGGATTTTTTAAAACTCCTCTCTAATTTTTAATGTATGCATATGTAACAGCCGTTTCCAACACTTAAAACACTATCTAATGTTGTATTTTTTACAACAGACTATAAAAACTTTGTCTGAAATAGGCGGCATAAAAGGGGGTGATCAGCGTTTGTACGGATATGACGCAATATGGACTATGGCACTTACCATGAATAACACCATCAAAAGGATAGCACCACATACTTTGGAGGAGTTTACATACCAACACAAAAATTACACAGATATTTTTCTGGAGGAAATTAAAAATCTGTCCTTTGTTGGTGCAACGGTAAGATTTTCAGCACCTAACTTTTTCTCTTTAAGTACTACTTAGAACTTTACAGTATATCCGTTGTAATGTCAGAAGTTTTGTAGAATGGCTGCATTTGAAATTAGTTCCAAGGACGAGTTGTTTGTATTGAGATGTAAAATTTCTTACATTGCAGGGACCTGTTCAGTTTTCTGATGAAGGATCAAGAGTGGAGAAATTAAGCCTTCGACAAGTCAGAAGTAGGTTTCTCATGAATTTAATCAACAACCAAAGTCAAAAATGCTCACCCATTATGAATTATCTAAGCACAAGCGCGAAAGGGAAAGGACTAAAAACGTTATTAATGGAACCCAGCAAGAAAAGCAAACTCTAAGTGTAAACCTCTAATAAGAAATTGAAGCCATAACGATACATGTTGAAGAAAATTTTGAAAAGATTGATAGCCAATAAACATAACATCAGAAGCAGTTGTAGATATTAGTACTCATAAAAGAGCACTCAGTCTCAAATGATGTGCGATAGATGAAATCCAGTCTCGAAGTCCATAGGCAATTCAAAGGATCAACGAGTAAAACACAATAATTTAAATGCTTTTAAACGAATCAAGCTATACTTTTTTTCCTTGATTATAGATGGAACGTATATACCAATCGGTGTGTATGAAAGAACAACAAAAGTTTTAGATTTTGTGAAGAGCCCCGAGTATATGTGGGAACCATTTGGTAAAACCGTACCAAGCTCTGAAACTAGGCTAGAGCACAAATATTTACGAGTGTCTGCAGTGTTGTTTGGGATATACGTAACACTTTCCGTTGTTGGAATTGTCATATGCCTTGTAGATATGATTCTAATGTCGGTTTACAGAAGTCATAGGTAAGTATGACTAATGAACCGCCTATAAAACGTTCAGCAGAACTGCCTTATCATCAGTTTTAAAAAAACTATTTTGCTTGTTGTATCTTCTTTTCCCGAGATAAGGTTCACTTTTAAAGGATATGTGTGCGGCACACAGGTCCTAAATATTTCTCTCATCAATCTGTGTGGACAGTTTAATAAATCATTCATCCTTTGCAGTGGCGTCGTGCAGGATTGGCCAATCATTAGAACACTAGTGTGTTTTGGTTGTATTGTCCTAAACATCGCTGTTATCCTCATGGGTATCGATGATTCAAGCTCTGGTACGAATGACTACCAGGGTGCTTGCCAAGTAACGTACCATTTCATAATCCTATGTCATAAGATAAAAACATCATAAAGTAGTGACATTAGAAATAATCTTGACAATTTGAAAATAATTAATATTATTTGATATTTTGAAATGGAATATTTCATATATATATAAAATCAGGCTGTTTTTGGGTTTGATTCATGGTGCAAAATTATTTGTGTATGATGCTTGCTTGTATTTCAGACTGCATCCTGGATGTTTGTAGTTGGCTACACATTAGCTCTTGGAGGGATGTTAGTCGATTCATTTGCCACTTACCATTTCTACACTAAGGGAAGTGTAACAAAATCAGTGAGTATACACTATACATAAAGTCTTTCAATAAAGCACCTTTTTCATATAATCATATGTATAGCTTTAGTCAAGTCTCATTCATATTTCTGATTTTTATTTTAAGGTTAAACAAGAGTTGAAGTACTGTGTGATATTAATACCTTGCCTTGTGTTAGATATCATACTGCTGATATTGTGGCAAGTGGTCGATCCTCCAAGGATAAAGACAGAATTCCTGCAGAAAGAGGTTAGTATAGAGAATGTGAAAATGAAGAAAGAGTTTGTTTATTTTACAGATGCCATGTTTGTTACTATGTTCCTTTGCATTTCCATTGTGCTAACACATTTCAACGTTCGTTTGTGTTTTAGTATGACGAAAGCCAAGATACAATTTTCCAAACAGCGATAGCTGTCTGTGATTCCGAGAAAATAAATGGTTGGAGAATTGTGATGATTGTGTATAAAGCAATCGTGTTGCTAGTTGCTACATTCACTACATGGCCTGCCTGGTAAGTTACTTATTTTAAACAATTGATTCAATTCTTTCTAGTTCATCTTTAGTATTGCTTTAGGCATAGAATGAACAAGCCCCATGTCTGGCTAGCGTTTTTCATATATGGGCATCAGGGCATCATGTTTTATTTTCAGGTTTGCTGCCCATGGAAAGGGATCTGCGATGAACCATTATCTTGGCATCTGTGTTTATGTGACCGTTCTTGCTGCCTTGATTGGTGTTCCTGTCACACTTACTCTTGGACCCAGCCCATCGGCACACTATGGTGTTGCTGGAGGTTTTATTCTGCTTTGTACCATTTCCACTGGAATTGCCCTACTTTATACTGTAAGTGCTACTTCCAGAATTTTAAATGTAATATTTGGTGTAAGAAGATTTTTCTTGTTACATTTTAAAGCGATGTTTCTCTTATGCCAGCATGTTGATTCGGTTATCCATACATTGGGTGCTCACATTTATTAACATGATATATAATCTTTATTTTCAGATCTTGTCGGGTAAAAGAGACCCCAATCCAAATAATGTACCTGCGTTGGTTAATATTATAAACAGACGTATCAATGAAATGTCAGTTACAAATAGCAAAGATAATTCAGGACATTTTGAGACAAAATAAACACAAAAAGCACCCTTGTTAAGTGAGGTCCATACAGTGTGCACGCAAGGAGGAAGATCAAAGATAGAACCGGACATCTTAAAGACAATTATGAAGACTATTGATGAATACCATATGTTTCATAATAATCTTTGACATCATTATTCTTTATAAAAATAATTTTATAAGTTTCAAAAATACCGATACAAACTTTAAAAACAACCCAATTTTAGTAAGCTAGTTGAGACGTATTTATATGTTATATGTATGTTTCAGAAAATAAAAGTATGGGTAAGAACAAGAAGACATTAAAAAGCATTAACTTTGTGTTCAAGACTCTTCTACAGATGTGCACCCATTGATTAAAAGCAGGAATATAATGTTGAATGGGAGATGAATAGAATGGTGTATGCAAATATGATGGCTCCCTGTATGTAAAAAAACACATCAACGTCTACGTCATTATGCGGTGAAGATCAAAGTCAAACGTTTTTCCTGATTTACTTAACAGTACAACACAACACAATACGAAACGATACAATACAATACAATTGTAATTGTATTTACAATACCGAAATAATATCGGCAACGAATTTGTATGCAAATCTTGGTTGTCAAATTTTGCCCCACTGTTGCCTCAGCACTTTTCAAATTTGTTGCACCCAATTTAAAAAACCGGAATACAGGGTGTTCCAAAAGTAACAGGACTGGTGCCGGCATTTTGTCAATTCTGCATCGAGTGCCTTCAAATTTTCACAAATTGTACTTTGAAGTATTGCAACTATACGATTGGTGCATATTTAACAAAATACCTGCACCAGTCCAATTACTTTTGGAATACCCTGGAAATTGTGAAGGATGGCATGTGTAAATTTTGGGTTAAAAGAATAAAAAAGAGTGAAAGCGGTGACAACTTACAAGTATTCTGTTGTTTATCCACACATATTTTGGGGCATACATGCTGCGTCCATATGCCTATAATAAGTATAATGCATAATAAATATAATATTTATGATAAATATATTTATGATAAGTGAATAAGTACGGGATAGTAGACATTATATTTGCTTTTTCTCGATATTGACATTTTGTGCAGCTGATTCCTGATTTGTCGAAATGATCTTACCTCACATAGAAGTTTGTGATACATTTTGGGATAGACTTGGAATACAATAATATGTGAACCAGACTCCTGAAAAGAAAACATACTACATTTTTACAGTTTTTATTTTACATACATGTACTTAATGGCACAATATAGTATGTCGTCTATATTTAACAATGATACTGATAAATTAAACCGAATGAAAAAGTTGTTAATAAATAACCTTAATTGCTGCAATTGTGTCAATTGGATCATCCTCGTCCTCCACTAGGTATAAGTTGGATACAGTCACGTTGTTTCGTTTCAGTTTATCTTCCAAATGCTTCCCTAGCTAAAGTAATCATACCATAATCTAATTGCTTATTCGTGTATAGACCGACTGACCATACATTTGGGCAAGAACTATGTCATATTTCATGACACTGTAGCATAATATGATGTATTACACTGTATTCCCAAAGTCTAGTATGAAGGAATTTTGCCTATTACTTTCGGATCAACCCTCGAACAAACATATATTAAAATAATATGGTGTAATAGCCCATATGTGTATGAAGCATCAAGTAAAGCTAAACCTGCTACTAGAAAATAGGTGTAAGGGAACCTACATCGTCATAGCCGATGTCAGCGACGATCACAACCTTGTTCCATGCATTCTCTATGATAAAGTTGGTAACCAGATCGTTGAGATAAACGTCATATAAACTGGCCATTGACATGAAAAAATGTCACCACTCGATAAGTTATTGCAAAAAAAGTTTTAAATATGTATAAAAATTTGTAACAGATGCCGAACGCAAACAACCGAAGCCAAATACAGACGTAACATTAACAAACAAAAGGTATATGCCCCCACTTCACTGGTGATCCACTCGATTACGCTGGAAACGTTTCGGTAACAAAATGTCGGAAAATCGAAGGTGCGATTTTTCTTTTTTCCTTATTTCAAACGTTGTATGTAGAATTCCCACGACATTTTTATCACAAACGTGTATCAGTATCATATGTTAAAGAAAATATACATATTTGCGAAACAAATAGTTCAGAAGACAACAGAATCGTCGACTTAATTCCTCACTTAAGTTACAGAAACGGTATTTCGAAAAACAGCTAAGATCTGCACTTTTAACCCAAACCGTTTGTGTAACTTAAATGAGGAATTAAATCGACGATTCTGTTGTCTGCTGAGCTACTTTTTCGCAAACATGTACATTTTCTAAAACATATGATAGTGTGTACGTTTGTGAGAAAAATGTCTTGGGGATACTGCCTCCAACGCGTGAAATAAGGAAAAAATAAAAATCGTACCTTCGACGTTCCGACATTTTGTTACCGAAACGGTTCGTTCGTTCGAGCGGATCACCAGTGCACTTCATGGCGAAGTGACATTAAATGCAAATAGTATTAGACTAGTCAATACCTTTGGTCATACTTGAGACTTTAAGCAATGTAAATAAAATCGAAACGTCAACCTGTGCCCAAAAATTGTCGCATACAAATGCATGCAGTTTTCACACATAATTGTTCCGTTTATTTAGTCCGTTACACTACACATCATTTTGTAATATGCCATTGGTGGTTATATAGCTAGTTTTCTATGGTACCTATTTCAAACAAGCTCGTTTTGTAAGATATTTGGAGCTAAAACATGTATGACACACACCATTTTCTTTAGAAAGCATTATACTGTTCATCGAAATCAAAATTGTGAGCATAGTATTCAACAGACATGATTCCCGTTGACACCAACGCAAAATAGCAGATCTCCCGTTCTAAACACAGCTCTGAAGCTGATCGGATATTTGAAATAGGCTAAGTGGCGCTTGTTTTGTATGCGCGCTATATACAGGGTGGTCCAAAAAATGAACTCCTGCAACCGGCTATATTTTCCTTAATAGTTGCATGAATAGACTCATATTATCACATGTTGTAGAGAAAGGTCTAAAATTTTGGTTGATGTTAAGCAAAAATGCCTGAAATTAGATATTTATTTATAATTCATTTACTATTTGTCATGACTTAAAAAGTAATTTTTGAGATTTTTGAAAAAAATATTTTTTTGAAAAAAAATTTGTGAGCATTTGGGGACTTGACTTATATGAAGAAAAACACGTGTTTAAAAAGTTCACCATATCGATACCACTCCTTTTAATTTCTATAACATTTGGTCGATTTAAAGTTGAAAAATTGGGGTTTGCCTGTTTCAACTCAAATATTAAGACATACGTGAAGCAATATTTTGATTTATTTACAATTAATTGGTCATCCAAATTCAGTATCTCTAAAGTCCCTGGAGGAATCCACTTTTCCTTTTAGATGATCGAACATGTCTCAAAGCACATTCTAATTATGCATTCAACAATATGACAAAAGGTTGCATTTTTGGTGAACATTAGGTCAACATTTTTGAAAAAGCATCTTGATTGGTCCATTGCCCCTTTAATATCACTTAGCCTGATAGTTAGTTATCATTATACTTTTCTTGGAGATAATGAATGGATCTTTAAGATACACCCGTTTTCATGAACATAAAATATTCACAATTCAAGTTATAATCGTCTGAAATTGTTTGCGATAACCTACGTCCTCCTTTATAGCATATCGAGAGTACATGTGTTTAATGAAATAAGTAGACACAAAACACTTGTGTCAAGTTTGCAATTGTCAAACAAAAATTTTGAGACATTTTTTCGAGAAATAATACGTGAGAAACCGCTCACCCAAAATTTATTTGCACAAAATAATAAAATATTAATAGTGAATGAAGTAAATGAAACAAAGTTTCGTAAAAAAAATGGCTGGTAAAAGAATGAAAGTGCACTTCTCAGAACAGTTTTTCCAACTCAAAAAATCTTAAGCTCGTATCCTTTGTGGTTTATATTAGTGGCATTCATGGTGTTCTTTTTCGGTATTCATTTTTTGTTGTATTTTCAAAGGACAAATATTATATTTCATGTTTAGTGTTTCTGTTCCGTATTATCATAGTGAGCTTGGCCAAATAAATGATAGGGAAAACCAAGAAAACTGAGCAAAAAGTCAGATTGCACATACATTTTGATCGACAAATATACTAAAAGATACGTGCTTCTTGTTTCGCAAATCTCTGAGAATTTCATCAATTAATAAACACACAGAGTTTTGGGGGATTTTGGGACAAATCAACAGCTGTGTTAAATGTTACCATACTACCTGTGAGAAATGTTATGCTCTTCACTAACGGTAGTTCTAATAAGTCCTCTTCACTATTAATTGAGTATTACCAGGGACATACTGTATTTCAGATTCTGACAAATACATTAAACAGGCAATGCGCTTATTTTAGAGGGAAAAGGAAAAAAGGACAAAATATTATTTGAGACATTTCACTCACACAGTCAATCAAATAATGATAAAAACTTTAATTAGGGTCAATACTGAAGTGAAAAAAAAATTAAACGCATAGAAAACAGCATTTGAAGTTCAGAGATCAAAAGAAGTGAATAACCACTTTTCACAAAGTGTATGTTTTTAAAAACTCTTGGACTAAAAGATGGCGTATGGTTGAAAATCCTATCAAAAATGAATGGACAATTAATGCAAACAACAATGCCATCTTTCTATGGCATTGCTAAAAATTTGACATCTATAAATTGATAGATCAAAAATATTTTTTCATGATCTAGTGTCATCTCTGATGTGGTCTGTTTGAGCTGTTTTTGGTGTCAACTGAAAGATCAGGTACTTATTAATCCATTGGAAATACTATGAAGATCAAAAGTGAGACTTCATTTACGCACTTTGTCCCTTTAAATTGTATTATTATCCAGCTCTAAACTAAAAAGAGCGCTGCAAGTGCAGACATACAGTATAGTCCATTTGTCACTCCTATGCATCCTATAGTGAACCTATGAATTGTTAAAAACACGATGTTTTTTGG